AAGGTGGTGAACATGATGATCCAATTTTAAAAAATCTTACAGGGATGGGATATAAGCGAAATGATGCTTTGGCGGCATTGGAGAAGTATGATTATAATTTGGAAAGGGTATGATTTCTTTTAATTTTCTTTCTCTGTCCAGGTTGTTTTGGACTCAGGGGTTGCGGGGTTCACACGAACATACACATGCTAATTATGAAATGTCTTAGGCGGCCAACTATTTGGCAGGTCAGTAGTTGACGGATGAGCCGGAAGTGCTGAAGTGTATGAAGGGATGGAAGATGGAAGATAGAGAAAGGGCAGGACGGGAGGGGGAACGGGGAAAGGCCGAAGGAATTGTGCATACTTAATAACCTCCCCGTTAATATTGAATCGATTACGCTATACTGCGTTACACTATACCTTTTTCATTTCTGCAAGAGGCTGATGGAACGAATATAATGTTTAGAAGATTCGAGAAGTTTTAGTCCTTGTTCTTTGTGTTTCTGTTTTTTACACGGAGAAATGGGCAGGGAAATGGGAACGTAAGAATCTGCTTTACACAGTTATAGGTGTGTGAAAATTGCTGTCCATACACGCTCCGGTTTGTCAGATGGGGACATTCATTGATTATTGTTAACCTTAGCTATCGCTCAATGAAATTTGAGGCCTAGGTTAGTTTATTTTAGACACCTTGTTAATTCCCCAGAAGTCTACCCAAACCATTAAACTCCATAGCCATAATGCAATACAATCATATTACAAATGTCATTCATTAATTATTTCATAAGTTCCGCACCTTCCCTCACTACACCAACCAATGCTCCCGTCTGTATGACTTCGCTTCCTCCGCCACTCAATCTATATTCGACTTCTGCTAACCCTTGCAGCCAGGTTATCATGACGCTTGCTGGGACATCCAGTTTTGTAAGCTCTTCTGAGAGAGCAGTGATGATGTCTGCCAATGCGAGTCCTTGTGTGGATTTTACCGCATTGATCATTTGTAAACAGGATTTAACATCGGTGGTTTTGAGAATTGTGTTCATGATTTTGGATATGTCGGCTGGATGGGGAGAGGCGATACAATCGTATATAGTAGTTTCGGTGATGAGGTCCCGAACGATATCTTTTTCTTCGATCTTGGGTGTGCCTTGGATATGGATTGGAGTACCTTTGCATTGTATTAGCTTCCTCAAACTTTATAAAAATAAAAATAAATTACTTACTACTAGCATGACAAGCTTGCAAAACATTCAAAGCCCGTCTCATATCTCCCTTACTCAGTCGAACCAGTGCATCCGTAGCCTCAGCATTGATTTGCACATTCTCCTCCGCAATCACCTTATCAACAAGTACCCTAATATCTGCCTCTTTCAACGGACTAAATCGGAATCTCGTACATCTACTCAATAGTGCCGGACTCAATTTGTGCGTATAATTCGCAATCACACAAAATCGTGTATTGGCAGTATATTTCTCCATCACTCGTCTCAGCGCCATCTGTGCCGTGGAAGTCATCGCATCTGCTTCGTCGAGAATAATTAATTTGTATGCGCCGGGTGATGTGGATGAAGATTTCGAGGCGAAGATTTGTTTGGTAGAGGCGAATGTTTTGATTTGTTCGCGCACAACGTCGATTCCACGGTCGTCTGAGGCGTTGAGTTCGAGGACCATTTGGCGCATGTTTTTGGATCCGTAGATGCGACGGGCGAGGGCGAGGATGGTGGAGGTTTTACCGGTTCCGGGGGGGCCGTAGAAGAGGAGATGGGGAAGTCTCTGGAGGGAATGTTAGGGTGGGAAAGATTTGTAGAGCAGGAAGGCATACATTTGTGTCCACGAATTTGTTTATCGTAGCAAGAATGTCTTGATGACCGGAGACATCTTCTAGAGTATCTGGACGGTATTTTTCGACCCTGAGATAGCATATCAGTATATACAACAATTCTACGCCTTTGAATTGATCCGACTCACCATGGAAGACTGTCTTCTGCCTCCACTGGTAAATTTGCTGCGCTCCGTTTGCCCTTTGAAGTCGTAGCATCGGAGCCAAATATCATTGAATCACTCGCGTTGGGGGCAACATCAATTTCCATATCATCCTCGTAGTCGGACATCTTTGCGAAGGATATTTGTGGTGCTCTGAAGATTGTTGATCGTGAATTGGGATTGAGGCTACAATAAAAAGAACATTTCCATTTACCTATCTGGAGTTGTGAGACGCGTCGAGATTTTGGGCGCGTTAAGTGGTTTATGTAAGCTAGACCTAAGGATTTTGCGGCAGTTTTGGGCGGTGAGAACTTTCGGTCGTCTCCTTTAACAACACCTGCTATCCTGAGTACCGTTTTGTGTCCAAAATTTCAAGAAATCATTGATACCGCTCTACTTAGAAGTATTCATACCTCATTCTGTCATGAAGTGCCAAAAATTCTCATTCCTCATGTACGATTGAGCAATTCTTGATGTCTGGGAGTAGTAAGGCTATCATCCAACTTGGTTGCTGCCATGGAGCGATGCGTTCACGGTACTGATTCGGCTTTGTCATTTGCAAGTGCAAAGTCAATACTTATCAGTATTTTGGAGCCCCGTTGTTTCTATAAACATTGATATTGTGCACTGTGAGTAAAGTTTTGATTGGGATGCATTGAGAATCTGTCAGTGCAAAATGTTCAAGTGGTTACGTTCGTCTGGTAGATACTAGTTGCGCCTGCAAAGCATGCTTTAGTTTTCAGTTCACATTCGTTTCAAGTTACACTATGCTGTCTTCATTCATAAAAGCTTAGCCTGCGTAGCCTGTCGAAACATCCGGTGTTGTTCACGGATCCGGAGACTTGAAGATTTTCCCCCATTGCCGAAGCTAGTTTCTCATATCTCATCCGGCGTACATGGACATTCTATAATACTGTCCAAAATCCTTGCCCGATCTTTATTTCCAAGAGTTGTATTTGATTTACGGCCGTCGAAATATCTCCTCATGCTTTTAGATATGCCCTGCAAATTCTTCCAGCCAAATATCTCGCAGTGATAGAATTCCTCCATAGTTTTGTAGATTTTTCGTACAAATTTCTCGTATACAAGGGATTAAAGAGCTTAGCAGTCTGCTGTCCCCTCCGGAAGTTGGACTTAGACCTTGGACTAGGTTGTCAGGGCTCTGAATGATATTTCAACGAATTATCGATCGCTATAACTAAAGATTAATGCCAATGGAGGGAATTTCTAAAACTAGGATACTCCAATCAAATTTCCTAAACTTGCGTGGGATACCTTTGTTGCACATCTGAGATTGTATTTAACAGGGTATATCCTAATAAGTGTTCGAATAATGTTCAGGTAGAATCTGTCCGGCAGAGTCTGGCTACCGATTTGGATCTAGTATGGAACGATCCTAGACTGAAATATTTCAATCATACAGTATGAGATCGTTTTGTTGCACATCGCTAACCCAAAATTTACATAGCTCAGCCCAGGTGTCAAATTTTCAGGAGCCTCAGACGCTAGGTCATGTCTATCAAATGGTTCCAATACTAGAGTGAATCCATCAATTATCTCACCGTTTCTCATACCTTTTTTTTCATACATCTCTTTAATTTTCGCCTGATTACCCCTCCAATCAAACTTTTGTGCAGTATTATTGCATATCTATGAGCTTTCAACAACCAGGTATATCCTAAAAAATCTTTAGGCTATCGCTGACCACCCGGCCAATCGGTAAATACCGATTAACGATTACCGACTCGTCAATACACCGTTCACACTTAGCAGCTACTAGCTTCTACCTTAATTGTAAGCTATCTGTTTATGAATCTTTGTAAGGAACTCTTGTAATTTGCCTTTGTCAATTACAATTGAGTAGAATCCTGAAGTCTATACTTGACTCTCATTATTCCAAAACCGCTGCCACGCAATGGCTTTCCGAAAACTGAAATTTGAGTATTCAAGGCTTTCACAAAAATTGCTAGTGTAGTGCGTGATATCATGACCTGCCAGTTGACCTAGTGATTTATTTAGTGGAATTAAGTTTTGGATGTCAGTAAAGGAAAAGCAGTGACATTATCGCTCGATCGTCATCAAGATCACATTGTCGTTGTATTGCTAAATTAGTGGTAATTATCTAAAACTGCCACTTTATTATCTAGGAGGCTAGTAACGGTTATCGTATATAGTAGTGTCAGATACCCTGCATAAAGCTATTTTCTACACCCATACACATCAAGTAGTTAATAGGTTCAATTGGTAGCGCTGCTCTAGTTCTCTGTCATGCAGATTCGATTCAAGGCCTTCGATCGTCGGAATACTGCGAGTTCTTCAGACCTCTTCAACGCTTTACTGAAGTACATGAGCTTCAATTCAATACCTTATAGACAGAAATAACTCACTGATATCATTTTGGTTTCCATTGACTCAGCATCTTAAGCCAGCTCAGTAATAAGTATCTTAGATGAACTCAAAGCTTCACGGAGATTGAATCTTTCATATGATCTCAGTATTTCAAATGATTTTAAACTCCGAATTGAGATGGAGATTTTAAATGAGCTCAATCTTCCAAGCTGAGTGAATTTCTTGTACGAACTCAACATCTTAATCACATCGATTGTTTAACATCATGTTGGTATCCGAGACGTGTTAAGTAATTCAAATCGATACAATGTCCTAACATTTTACAATACTTCAATGTCTAAACTAAGTCCATTAAATCATAACTACAAATTCTTTGTAAGTGTTTAAGGATTTCAAATTGATCCAGAGTCTCGAAGTGGTTTGGTGTTTTAAAGTAGATTGGAGCATCCAGAGTCTTCCATTGTTTGATCGTCGTTTGATTATACACATTGATATTGTGGATGAGGGATCAACAATAAGATTTTCGCCTGTAAATCTAAGTGTTACGAAGTTACAATTAGTCTCGAGTGCTAGCAAAGTGGTGTGAAGTGGTGACGTCTTTCAAGCTACCCATTCCATTGCCTATATATTCCACGCCTTTCCCTCTCAACTCTTCTCTTCTTCTTTTTCTTTCTTCTTCAGCTTATTATGTCTTTCTTCTTGAATACATTTAAGTCCACCCTCGCACTTGTCGGATTCGCCACCCCACAAGTCGAAACCTCAACCCCCGCTGCGCCCACCTCCAGCAATGCCATTCTTTCTGGTGAGTATAGCCTCTCACCACCTTTGCTAATTGACTATTCAGCCGAGGATCCCTCTTTCACCTCGGACTTTGCCAAACAGGCCCCGGTACCTACAAATACCGGACACATTCTCACCGGGATCCTCCGGCCCGGCCTTAGGCCCTCCACTGTCGTTGACCGAATGCAAATCCACGGATTTCCAAGGACACTGGAAAATTGGAAGGTTTGCCCTTCCGCCCCACTCTCATTCAAATTTAAAAAGGTAAAAGCAATAAGGAAGGTACATTTCCGAGAATATGACGGGTTCAACCTGCATAAATACCGTCCATTCGACCCAGAGGAACCAGCTAACTCCTGGATTCCCTTCCATGATGCTATCCTGCATCAACCCGGCCTGACGCCTGGGAAACGCAGGTCAGGGTCATGGACTTGTCCCATTTGCAAGCAACTCTGGACCAATATAGGCAACCACCAGACCGATCCAAGATCTCCAGCTTGGGAATGGCGGAGCCCGGTCCTGCCCTGCCCTGAACACCCACGGCCCCTGTCTTTTAGGAAACCCGAGCCCTTTTATGGATTGGCTCTCTCCCAGAGGGAGCTAATTTACAGCAACAAGGATAAATACAAGATCCCATACATCTTGCACGGGGGCCTCATCAATCCGCCTACGGGACTGGATCCAGAGGATGACTCAGAGGTTGAGAGCGCTAGGCTAGGCGATCTCGGACTCTGAGACATCCTCTGGATCCATATACAACATACCAAGTCCATCGCTACCTCGAGTGATTCAATTGAATCTACCAGGTCGATAGCTACTTCGAGTGGTTGTATTCTTCTCTGAGTTTTCATACGACATACCAAGTCCATCGCTACCTTGAGTCATCCACTTGAGTCAACCAGGTCGATAGATACTTCGAGTAGTTGCTGGATCTACGTACGACATACCAAGTCCATCGCTACCTTGAGTCATTCAATTGAATCTACCAGGTCGATAGATACTTTGAGTGGTTGTACCTGGATCCGTATGCGACATACCAAGTCCATCGCTACCTTGAGTCATTCACTTGGATCTACCAGGTCGATAGCTACTTCGAGTGGTCGTATTCTCTTTTTCTGGAGTTCTGGCGTTCTTTTCTTTCCATAAAATTTCGCGGTATCCCTCTACTGGAACACCTGGTGCCAGCCTCAGGACCCTTGGCCGGGTACCTGACTAAGGAGGGACCAAGGACTACGGGAAGGGGAGCCTTTACCTCGGGCCACCAGTCTCGGGATCCTGCTAGGGGACATCCAAGGACCTATGAGGCCATTGGCTATTCGTAACCTTCGGATGAACATTCCTGTTAACGCCGGACTGGTCTGCTGGGTAATCTTGCGATTAAAAATCCAAAAAAAATATAAAAATTCTAAAATCCAAAAACATTTTGCGCCTTTTGCTTACTTTTCTAGGCATTCTTCTTTCGAGTTTCACTTCAGGACCTTTTTTTCCTGGACCCCGAGTCCACCAGTGAATCTTTCTTATTTCCTTTTTTTTTTTTGTATGGGCCTTTGGTCCAGCAGCGATTTCCTTTTTTTCTTTGGACATTTGTCCACCAGCGATTTCCTTTTCTCTTTGGACATTTAGTTCACCAGCGATTCTCTTCTTACTCTTCATGGCCCCACCCTCAGCGATACACCTCTTTCGACACCCTCCCTCGCCTTCGTCAACCGAAGGCCACCACAGCATTATTTTAGGTAAGTATAATCTCCTCCGTTGATTGCTAATTCGTCTATAGGGTGGCTAGCCTTGATCACACCTCCCCGTTGGTGCTAGCTGGGTACCCTCAAATGAGGAGCTAAGTGATCAGAAATGTCCCTGTGGGAAGATGTTCAATACACGCTTTTGAAGCGAATGTCTTGTTTGCCGAGTATTGAGCTCGATGAAATTTGAATTATTGAACTGATTCTGTGATGGTTAAATTTGAACAGCTGGAGTTGGTGATTCATTCTAAGTATTTCAGTGTTGTATAATCCACTCGATCTTCAATAATCTGCCGTCGAACTTCGGTATTACAATTCCATTGGTTTGGGGCTATCGGCTAATTCGAGTACTTCAAAATAGACTTTGCTGAAGTCAGGTGGGTGGCATGTTCAGAACACATTGTCCGACAGTTTCTCTAAACTACGATAAACTAGACTTAATTCACACACACTTGCTTTATCTTGCATATGTCGAAATTCCAGAGTGAGACTTCTTTCCAAAATCCCCTTATCAAGAAACATCACCTCACTACTCACCAACACATGCAGTTGGCCACTGGCCCGCTGTAATATGTGTAGTAACAATCAGGTACGCCATAAACTCGCGACACACGAAGTCATTAGCGAAACTGAATTGTTGGAGTGTAACTGTTGGAGTGATGTTAAATGCGTGATGTAGTGGATTGCCAACATTCGCTAATTGTTAGATATGGATCTACGCGGTTTTCCCCATGACTTGTATAAATTCTTCCAAATATCTCATGATATATTTCTCATCGTCTCAACTTCCATTCAAACTTCTCGTTCTGCCTCACAATCCTTCTCAAAATGTCTTTTCCATCAGCCGCGGATTCGGCATCCGACACTCATCCTTCTTCCCCGACTCATCCTACCCACCCATTAATTAAAGCACTACAAGTATCTTTGCAAAGAGAAATTTTCTTCAAGCCTGAGAATGAGGAATTGACTGAAGACTATAAGAATGCGATCAACAGATATAATAAAGCATTCATCAAGCAATAAGTAAGTTGTATTGAGCTTCTTACTTTTCTATTCCCGAAAAGCTTGTGAAAAGGAGTACGAAGAAAAGAATGCCGCACTTGAATGTGTCGGTAATTTTTGTGTGACTGTTGCACTTGGGTTATTGCTTTTGGCTGAATGGCTGAATTGATAATGGAGAATGAAGTATCATTCTCCCAATATATTTGATAACCCGAGACTTTATCCTTCAATTCAACCCCAAGAGTTCCTTCTATGACCCAAAACGAATTTAACAACCAATTATCATTCATGCTTCCTATCTCTCCTCTCCCTATTACGTCCGAGCTAACCATCTAATCTCTCATAATCTTCTGTCACTCCGAAAATGACATCATAGCCTCTCTTTCCCACATCCAGAAACACAATCTTGATTTCACCATCGCCGGAGGAAGACACAGCTATTATGGTGTTAGTTCTTGCGATGGTGTAACCATTGATGTGTTTTGTCCCATTCTTTGTTCTTCACTTCCTTTTAACAGATCCGGACGAGTAGGAAATACGAAAGGATGAGACATCTACTAACATCCGAATCTAGATCTTAGGAAAATGAGAAAAGTAAACATCGATAAGGGGAATATGAAGATCACAGCACAAGACGATTGCAGAGCTGCGGATCTGGAAACACCACTTCAAGGTGCGTAGAGTAAAGTTATGTTATTCGATTCTTGATTCTCCATATTCTTTGGGCTGTACGAGTTAGATTGGAATAGTAATGATTGGGAGATTGGTGGGCAATTATTCAAATAGAACATGGACCTTACGCATTGAAGAAACTTAATACTAGAGGACATTGACTAATATCGTACAGTGGAAGGATTATCAGTGGTCATGGGCCTAGCCAGTGATAGAGGTATCTCCCTCTATTCCTTCTTTCCTTTCCCAGCCCCCATCATCTACCCTCTATTCCCTATCATATGTAACAAGCAATACAGGTATTGCAGGTCTAACTCTAGGTGGCGGTTCAGGCCCTTTAACCGGCCGATATGGGCTCGAAATCGATAATCTACTCTCGGCCCATGTCGTAATTGCCAATGGTATAGTTTTAAATTGTTCCAAAAATGAAAATTCAGATCTGTTCTGGGGTATCAGGAGGGGGACCAAACTTTGGTATTGTGGTTGAATTTACGTATCGAATGCATAAGCAGGTTGACGTATGCCAGTAAGTTTGACTACGTGCATGAGAAATCGGTGGGTGAGATAAGGGGAAGAGCTAACAAACTTCCTAGTGGTCCTTTAGTATACAAGCCAGAGAAGACGAAAGCCCTTCTCGAATTAGTCGACACTATGCAAGAAATAACAGAGCAAACTGACGGGAAGTTACGCCTTCTTTTGGCGATAACGAAAATCCCAAGTGTGCCAATGTCGGGCATTCACCCAATCTGTATCATATCCTATGATGGACCAGAGGAAGAAGCACGAAAACTTACTGCTCCGTTGTGGGATTTGCAACCTGTAATGTCGGCGGTATCAATGAAGCCATTTGCCAGCACAACCAAGCCATCAGGACTCGTAGACGAACCGCCAAACCATCAGAACTTCTCAAATACGAGCGTGTTCATGCCCCATCCATTCGATGTCGAAATTATGGAGAAGTTGATACAAGACTTCGATGATTTCCACAACAAGCATGGAGATGCACTTGCACCTTCACGAATCATAATCGAGATGCGTTCTTACAAGGTTTCTGGTGCAATCTCTGCATCGGCGACCGCGTTGGCGGCCAGAGAAAAGACTGTTTCTATTACTATGGGGGCACAGTATGATAGCTCTCAGGTTTCGCATACGGTTATGAGAGACGATATTAAAAGGATGATTGAGCCAGTCAAGGAAGCAGTCAAAAAGCAAGGGTCTGGAAAGTTCACGAATGCTAATTTGGGAAGTGGAACGGAAAGGACTCAAAATATGTTTGGACAGAACTATGCGAGATTGAGAGAGATTAAGAGAAAGTATGATCCCGAGTTTATTTTCAATAAGTAGTATCCGATTCCACCAGCAGAACAAAACTATAGCTTGAAGCTGTAATCTCCAGCGCTGGGATACATAGAAATACCAGTCGATTGTCTTTTCAGGTCGTTGCTTCATGCCTATCCAAAATTGATACATTCCACTCCTGAAATTTCCTCGCACTTGGTGGAAGATACCGCATTGCACTCAATTCTAGGTAATGCTTGAACTCATGTATTACTTCTCCCGGCAACTCTAGCTCCTCCACGGACTCATCATGTGTCGATGGATACTTGGCCACAGAAAAGGGCTTTGAAAGGACTTTCATAGCCAGTATTCCAGGCCTGCCAGGTGTGTCCGAGATACGCATCCACCTACGATGGTAGAAGTACGAAGTAGTATATCTAATTGAGGGATTGAAGATCCAAATACTAAGGCCTCCCCACTCTACTAGTCCAACATCGCTTGGATTTTTCAAAGGCAATATGTTCACACGGGAAACACAAGATGAGTTCATTATTGCCAAAAATTGTGCCGAAATGATTCTGGCCATCGACGGCTCAAGAAACTTATCCGAAAGGTTGGATAATGGAGAGCCCTCGAAAGTTCCCATGCGCAAACTCCATTTGAAAAGTCGGATTCCTTCGTTTTGAGGATCACTGGTTCCAATCGTAGCGAGACACGTTTCACAATTTATAGTACACTTATTCTGTAAGTGAAACCAAAGTTAGAAATTGATAAGCTAATTGAACATTGCTTGACGCAGAATACGCTAGATAAATGTCACTTGTGCTGAATCCATAACTTCTGAAATCTCAAAGAAGATACGGTGATGGAGGATGCCAAGGTTCGAAGACCTTCAATCAAGTTAGAAACCCATAATCTGAAGAAGAGGGTAAAAAATTGACTGCTGCCGGAGCAGAGCAACAGCAAGTACTTAATCTTGGGTATTTGTATCGGTGACCAGCCTATGGAGGAGCGCCTGGTCTCCTTCTTGTTACCCGCATATACTCGGACTACAAATGAACATAGAGAAAGAAATATAATTTACCTCGTTACCTCCTTGGGGAAGAGTACAATCGGTTTCCGCCAAGAGAAAAGTTGAATGATCCACGAAACCGATTCCTGGCTGTGCATTGAACTTTGTGTTTGCTCCATAACCTTTTGTTGAAGCCAAATTTTCGTTTTCATGATTATGTTCAGCATGGTCCGATGGCTTGTGACAATGCCAGAAATCCATCATTTCTGCCCAACCTTCACTTGGAAGATCCCTCCATTCTTTGATACGGTCTGCTTCCACGATAGTCGTAGAGCACCTGCGGCATTCAAAAAATTGTTCACCAATAACCATATCTTTTGCGGACCATGGTGCTTCAATGGTTTGTGAAATTTCTACATCAGCCCTTTGAAAGTCTCCTGCTAAAGGAAGACGCCATGATAATTCAAGGCTCCTAAGGGGAAATTCTCGTAGTGGTGAATTTGATACCACTTGACTGGGAAGCATTAGTCTGATATCCTGTTCGGCATGGTTCAACTTCAATATGGTTCCATCAGCCAATAATTCAGCCTTTGTAGAAGAATCAGATGGTGTGTCCAAGAACGCCAGGATAGATATCTGTCGAATGTTTGACAGAAGTTCCGCATATATCAAGGGTTTGATTGGAGGCATTGCTTGATAGAAGTTGATAACTTCATGGGATTGACTGACATGATTGAGATTGTGTTGAGTTTGTCGCGTCGCGTTCTATAAAATATATCAAGTTGGTTTATCACTCGGCGCGGGTGATGTTCCGATGCCGTGGTCCGCTCTTACAAGCCACAATACGACGCGCTCAGCGAAGTTCATGTCACCGCTTTTATTCAGCCACCAATTAAATCATTCTGCCATATTTCAGTTCAAGCTTCCCCACACTTTGACTTGCATCCCAGGACCTTCAAAGTCCAACACCACAACAATCATGTCGGCTCCTATGATAAATTGGGTTCCTATTGTGAACAGAATCTACAAATATGTTGCAAACACTACTATCGCTTCATCAACGCAGCCAATAAATATCCTGCCAGTCGAAATTCACGACATTGAAACCGCTCCAGAGAAACGGCCAAGGACGTTGAAACATCTCTTGAAATCGAACCATATTAATCATTCAATTCTTTACAACCACAATCGATTCCACAACCATTTACCACATCATCTAGGATCCGCGTATCTTCTAGGCGCAGATTACGATCAATTACAAAAAGTTTTTGCAGAAGAATCAAAACATCTTGAAGAATGGCAGGATTCTCCTGGAGAAATCACAGATGCAGATTGGAGGGAATTTTTAGGAGAGAAGGTATACCAGAGGGCGTACGTTGATTTCTTTGAAGATGAATTGGCTTTAAAATATAGTTATGATTGGAAGGTTTTGGTAGAAGAGTATCTCTACAGCGGGAAAGCTCCTCTTGTCAATGGCCTGACTTCAGGACGTACGTATATTTCCTATTTCACCGCATCTATACTAATGAGTGTCTTAGTCGGTCACCCCCTTATCCATCTCGGTTACGCAGTCGAATTGAATAGTCGCGAATTGGCCATCGAAGCCCTCTCCCTGGCGTCGAGCTGCTACGACTTTATGCATAAATATCTTGATGATCCATCTTATACCAAAGCATCTACCTATAGTACAACCTCGCCCCTAGAAATTCTCCACAAAATACATACAGATTCGCGGTTAGATGGTGTCTTGGATGGACCTTCGCCTTCAAATATAACCAAATTATTCGATGAACATGAGGAGTTTATACTCGAGCATTGGAACGCCTGGAGTATTACCGATCCCCATAAACAATTCCAAGATTCCCAAGAAGCAGCTGTGAACTTGCTGGTACAAACGGTTGAGTCTGGTACTCACGCATACGACTTCTTCATGGTACATATCCTCACTACAAGCCACGCAGTTCGAATTCTACTCCCCTTCGTTCCAGCAAAATTTCAAATAAGTTTGATACGTCAATGGTGGCTATTAACAATTGCCGTCTACTGTTCGCAGATGAGACCGGAAATAAACGAAGACATTGAGCAAAAACCAGCAAAGGGATGGAAATATGTAGAAGATAAAGCTATCAATGGTGTATGGTCAACAGATCCACATTATGTGAAAGCAATACGGGCCATGAAGGAAGCAGCTTTTACTTGGGGAGATGTACATGAGAGATACCTGTCCATGGCTGTCACCTTCGCTGATGATTTTAATGGATGGACGGGATTTGGAACCAGTGAGTCTGATCGTGTTGGTGGGCATCTTTGATTTTGGATTAAGGTGGCTGGCTCTGTTTTGTACTAGTATGATTGCCGATTTTAATGAATGCATGGAAATATCGTATATGATCCAGATCTACCTAATCTTATATGATCGGATACTCAATGATCATGTTTTCGCCAGCTTCAAACGATCCTACTGTCGTTGAGTAATGACGTCATCGGATAGACAACATACCATAAGGTACAAGGAATACATGGTTGTAGTAAATTGCTGTGGCAGTTTTATATATTAAGAAATACATGATGAAGGAACTTGAACAGAGTAGTGAAGTTCTAAATAGTCACGCGAATCTCCAACGTTTGCTTGGAAATTATGAATACGTCGCTCATATCGACCCCTTTCCTTCACCGATTTCGCCTTCTGGAATCTTTTTGCCTGCACGATGTTTGATCTCATGAGCACTTGGCAACTCGTGCGACCCGTAGGTATCCGACTTAGACGAGATAATATAGTCTCCGTACCCTGGAAGATTCTCAAGTTCCATCTTGAGCTGAGCTGCAAGTTTCGTATCATTACGCAACTCGGCTTTCCTTATGAGATAATATCTCGAGGCAATATCGCGGGCGTGTTCGAGATTTTTCAAATCTTTATTGTGGTCAGTATCCTCTCCTGCTTCTAATAACTCAATCTCCCTTTCGTCATATCTCTTCTCGCATTTCAAAAGGGCTTTCTCTAGCTCCTGTTCTTCTTTGTCTGTACATAAGTCAGTTTTCTTTGTTTCAAAAGTTCTAGTGCTCAGGACATCTCACCCATACTGAGCTGACCAGGATACCCTCTACTATATGCTGCTGCAATATTTGGCGAGGGAGTTAAAGCCTTGAAGGACTCAGCGTCTGACTGTTTCTTTGCAACGGTTGGTGGCTGTAATTCAGGTCTTGGAGATTTACCCGGCCGTGGCGGGCTTGGCGTTGGTTCCATCGTTGAATACTTGGAGTCTGCTTCACTAAACCTAGAAGGTAATGGAACATGTTTTCCATCCGCGTCACCGTGATCTTCAACACCTTTCATTGGCCCCTTCGGCGGATGTTTTGTTCCGGTATCGTTTGGACGAAGAACGTTTATGCTGTAGGCAAGACTCACCGAGAAGGGTTTTGAGAACAACCGTGCAAGTCCTTTCTTGATATCTTCAAGCGTGTCATGTATTGGAACGACATATCCGCGGCCTAACACATCCGAAGCAACGACATGGCCATACACCCGTAGGAAACTTGATGAATCAACGATCCACGCACCGCTATCACCAACATGAAGCTCTATAGTGTGGTCAGCTTCGCTGTACCAAGTAGAGCCATCGCGATTTCATATCTGTTATAGACTAGATTGCGTTGAGGCAAAATTCATTCACTTACTCTTACCGTCTGAAAGTGATAGAAGACGTGTTTGGACCAACACCTTGCCTGGAGGGAGCATTATATACGACCAGGAGCCATGTAAAATCCCATTGAGTGGCCCTCGGGTAGAACTCATTTGTACTGAGGACTGTCCCCCTCTAGATTGGGATCGTGTTGGATATGGATTGAATGCGGCATTTGGGGGGCTGTAAGAGTTTTTGTCGATAGTGATCAATCCCCAATCAAGATTGCCTTCATCTGTGAAGAGATTATGGGAGGCCATTGAAAGCTTTCCCAATCTTGACCATTCGTTCATGTTCACCTCCTCATCAATTTCAATTCCACTTTTATTCAAAACATGTAGATCATTCTCATCCTCTGAATTAGCTTCGATAAAACCTAATTCGAATTCGAAAGATTCCACATCCTCTTCATATTCGCCGTCGTAATCGCTCACTGGAGAATATTCGGCGTCATCATACAACTCTTCAAAGACGAAATGACCTGCAGTCATTCCATAAATTGTTTCCAGATTTCCTGAGTCAATCGTCTTGATAAAGCCCCCATGGTGGCCAGGCGCACCCCATGCGAATACCCTGTCATGATTTGCCTGCCACGACGAGCGCCTGGTGTAACATCAGACTTTAACACATATATTTCGTTTCCTTCTGAAATCGCCGGGGAATCAAATTGTGGAGGCGCATTCGCGGTATTGACGAGCGGCCTCGGCTTCTGTGGGTAAATGTGTACCCTCAAACGGGGAAAACGATCATCTGGCTGAGATGGTTCGAAATCACGCCTAATCGCACTTCTCTGAAAAAATCTGGTAATCTTTCCGACAACTGCCTTGTTACATTGAATGAATACCCAAGGTTCTGCGCTCTCTTCATTCTCTCCCAAGACCTGCAAAGTCATCAGAATCGAGGTGCAATTGGGCAGACCGCGTGTTAAGCTATTAAGACTTTCTGCGTATTGCTCACGCAGATCTGAAAAACGATCCCATGTCAGCTGCGGGATTGGTTTATCATACGGTCGCAGTTTTTTAGGCTTTCGAATGTAGTTAGGCATTATACTTTTCCCTTTTGCAATGGCACGATCCGTAAGGGACTTCGAACTATTCGGCGGAGGCGAAGGTTCTAGAGAAGCGTATCCTGAATCCTCGTTCGGTTCATTGCGTGTGACTGGTAGGGCTGTGGAAAAATTGTCTGAGTTCATGGTGGATATGCCTGAACAAGACATGAATGATTGCTATCGGCACTTGTCGTTCTCGACCGCACTGAAAAACTTGAGTCAAATATGAGTATCGTGGTAGCTAGCACAATAAAAGTCAAGAATTATAGAGAACATAGCAATTGAAAGCGGGGCAGGTTTTAAGTAGTTCAATGTGAAGCCTCGACGACATTGTAGTGTAAAGTGGCTGGGGCTGCAATTATTTGAGCAGGGGCTTCATTGGATTGAGTCGCCACTCAACAAGTTAGTCTTCGATACTTTACTCGCTGACATAGTAGATTTTCCCAAATTATGCATCCTTGGGCCTCTGAAATGTAACATACACAGCCCCTTACGCGATAACAGACCAGACTTTTATTGATCTTCTTTGGAAACGAATTACCACATGTAAATGTAACTTTACAACACAAGTGACAAAAGGCAAAATAATTTCCCTATGTTTAATCAAGTATGACTTTAGAATACCCACTTGGAAGAGTCACTACCTCCCAACTACAGGCCCTTACGAAGGTTTTGTGGTCTTGGTTTATATGCTCGGATTGTCAAACAGAGACGCCTTGCAAGACCACAAATTGCTCGTGGTCCAGATCAACGACGCTCAGCCGATATTTCGAGTTCTTCAAGATATCCACAAGTGCTTACAAGTGCAATATAGTTCCTGGTCAGTCTCCGGGTCTGTCATCTTACAATGACTTATTCCAAATAATTGAACAACTGAAAGCCAGCCCTGAGCTCAGTAAAGCAGAGTTATTGGAGAAACTCTTCACTGATCGTCCCACGCGACCGTACCAAGAGCGTGCTCTCAATCTAGCTGTTCAGGTGGTGGTGATGATCAACTGCTCAGCATCTCGTCAATCTTCCGTCCTGCTAGAGTACGGAAACGAAAAAGCACGGTGGCATCTCAACGATACGTTTTCGCAATTTCTTAACGACGTATTCCCAAAGACGTCCCACCCAAGCATTGATGAAATTAAAAGCGAGCTTTTGGCGACCAAATTGAAGAAGAATGCGCGACTGGAATTTCGGCCAACAGACGACCTGAGAAATCATTTGAGGCTTGACAAAAGTTCAGGAGTTGTCGAAATTTTCCACCATACTGCTTTCTTGAAAGAGCAATTGAGGCTTACGAAAGAACAACCGCAAAGTTTATCTGTATCCGATCTGATTCGAATGTAAGTTGAGAAGAACACAACTGGGCTTTTGATTATTAGCGTTAAAAAATCAATAGAAAGTATGGTGCTAATATTGGTAAATTGTAGTGGCGCGCTCCCTCGTACACTTGTTATCGAGGTGCTCGATTCCATACAGAAGGTTATCTTTGATCTCACAGATGTCAAATCCAAAGAGCTGCTATTATCGCTGACCTCGGCTTCAACTTTTAATTTTGATCGTATGCTTGACAACCCTCTCAGAGATCTGATATTGTTAGCTAACATCTTGATCTTCCAGCGGATATTCTTCGATATGAGAGCGTGTCAATTCGCAAACCAGAGGAGCAGAATATTCAGTATCATTATTTCGGGGCACGATTGGCAGAGCTACACCAGGAGTTAATGAATCCGACCCCTAGAGGTTTTGAAAAATGGTTCGAGAGAAAAAGCAGTCCAAGATTCGTGATGATGGCTACCATCGCCGGCGTTATGTTTGCGATTTTCCTAGGGTTGTTGAGTTTGGCTTTGGGCGGCTTTCAGGCTTATGTTGGATATATGGCATGGAAGCATCCTGTTCAAACGTCATCTGGTTTACAACAAAACCAATAGTTGCGAGAGTTAGACATTATGTCAAATCACAACAGTAGGAGAATGGAACAGAATTTGTGTTTCGTGAAGAATTCAGTAGAATGATACAGGTGTACGTTTATCGCGCACGACCATGGTTATCATCACATGACACTGTTTGGCTTCGAGCTACTATTCAGCAACCACGTCATGGACCTGCCCACACATTCAATGATGGTACAATCTCTAGAAGTCTGGTATTCATGTTCAAGATCAAAAAATGCTATTCCTAGTTTGCGTTCATCAAGTCCAGTCGCTTTTCTTTTAAAGGCTAAAACTAGAGATTTTTCATAAATCTCACAAACAATGATTCCTCTCCTCCAGGAATGGAAGTCGAAAGACGCTGCTTCTGTTGATTCTTATTTATGAGTGTGGAGGTACGTTTCATAGACAGACAACTCAGAGCTCTTGGAATACAGATGTGCCAAAGATAGAAAGATGGCGTATTTCCTCCAACATCTGTATGCTGGTGAGAAGTGCGCCTCCGGAAACACACAAACTAATTGGGCATTACATTGTCGAACGAAAAGCCAGGCTACCTACTTGATAGTTCTTGATCAGTTGTCGCCCATATCTTATGAAGACTTATTCCGTGTGGCTACACCAGTCGAAACTCGCAGAGTGGTAATCTAGGTACCTCCCAAGTGAATGGCCAACTCCTCAAGCAATTCGAAACTGCCTCGTTAGTTCAAGGCTATGGCTCGGTGTATTTGCGGTGTGCAGTGGTGTAACAGGTGCTACCATTGCCGTTATGAGAATATCGTCTGGCAATCCTCATTTACGATCTTTTCACTTGTTTCTTCGATATCTGCAATTTCTACAACATGCCATCAGCGACATCGACAGCAAACTTAGCATTTTCCCCGATACGTTTTCTAATCACTTCACATGAAGCTATATAGGGAATATCATTACATAGGCTCAAGCAAAACACACATGAGGATCAAACAGCGAGTCTATCAGGTTGCTTTCTTAATGATCTTGCATCAAGTAGCGGCTGCTTCTAAGAAAAAGAAGGGTGGAACTTGCGAGAAGCGGGGAGGAAGCTTTATTCTTTCTTCAAAATTAGTTTGATGTAGCATTGCATTGGATGCAAAAGTTTGAGGATACCGAGTCAACATTGCCACTTACGATCCCGCGTATGCTACGATATTCTACGCGATAAAACCTTGCTCTAAATCGCAATAAAGCATGTCTTAGAATAGCAATCTGTGCTCAGAGCATCGAATTAGTCTCAAAGACAATCAATCAACACAGCTATCTGCCTCAACTCTCCTCCCAAGAAGTGAGTAGAGAAATACCGATTTTGAAGACACTAATCACAATTTACATGAATACATCGACATCCGTCCGAATCACACATCATCCGCCACCATTCAAAGTCGCCAACCTACCACTTCAATCGCAATATCACACTCCATGATGGCTTAGGACCGATAAAATCAAGGCGTGTAACTCTGACGACGTTCTTGTGCCAGCAATTCAATCCGTGAGCGGCTTGACAAGATAAGTATGATTCATCGCAAACTGGACTCTAGAACACATCTTATCAACTGCAAGAATCTATTGGCATGCTGAGAGTGCATTTGGAATGTACGCTAATTGTGTATCTGTGAAGACGGCTATATTATGTTCTGGCAAGTTCCCAAAGCCACTCAATCCGCAAGTGGTCACTTATTCTGATGCAGTTCAACCACCACTAATGCAGTTATAGATTTGCACAGCAAAGGAGACGACCTTGTTGTTAAAAAGACGAAACGGAAAACACTGCTTTGGAAAGCATATATGCACTTCTCCCATCAAATACTTAAAGATCAAGTGCACTTGTCAATGAGCCAAACAAGATTTGATCAGGTTTTCCCCCCCAAAAAATCCAACAGTTCGTTCAGCATTCACAAAATCAAAAGTGCCATCTTGCAGGCTCCTATCGATAATCTCCTTGAAGCACCATCTTACTCAGCTAACAGAAACCCCAACGAATCACTAATCTTTCAACTCAATGCCATACATCAATCCAGCGCTCAACACCCCCCACCCCCGCGCTTCATTGATCAAAATAACACAAATATCCAACTCGCCCATATCATCCAAAGAAAAACTTCTTCTTGGTATAGGATTACATAAACCCACACATCTCTAAACCCACGCAATTTTCCAAACTACCGAGATGATATGTTGAATCAAGCATCAAGTGTAAAACTTACCCTCCAACTGCTGAACTCCTAGACTGCAGTCCAGAAGAATCATCTATGATTTTGATTATAGTACCGGGAAAGGTATTTTGAATTTTGGATTTCGGATTTCGATTCTCAGTCTTTAATCTTTAGTGTTCGATACTCGGCCCTTGGTCCTTGATGATCTCTCAATATTTATAGATTGCGGATTGCGGATTGCGTGCTTAGTGTATTGTCTAGTTCTCTAACAACGTTTATTTCCAGTGTCAATTTTCGATTCTTTCATTCCTCATTCCTCATTTCTCATTCCTCATCATATCTATCGTCACTCATCCACCTTCCACTTTCCACTCCCCCTCCCCATCCACTCATCCCCATACACACCACCCCTCACCCTACAACCTCCTCCTCTCCTCAACCCACAAATGACCCCCCGCCTCTTCCAAAACCCTCACATGTTCCCTCTGTTTCTCTCCCGCCTTTCTCGCCAAAAACAACGGGGTATTCCCCGCTTTATTACGGGCATGTACGCTTGCACCACGCTTGAGTAACTATTTGTGGGTGGGGGGTTAGTAAGTGTTTAGTAATGGTTTTTGGGGGGGAAATTTTAGGAGATTGAAAAGTAAGATTTTAAGATAGAGAAATGGAGAGATGATAAGTCAAGGAAGAAGAGGAAATTCGGAGAGTTCATAGAAAATTTGGGGGATATGGAGAGGAAACTTGAGGAAGTCGAGTATTCAGGGACATGCGATTGATTGTCTGGACTAGCAGACCGGATGACATGATATGTGAACAGTTTTTCAGGCTGTGAGATGAGATTTCACTGTCTCATTCAATAATTTATAATATCGGAAACATGTCATAACCTATATATAAAAATTCCAGATATTTGGAGTCTTTCAAAATGATGTATATGTGCTTTTGAAAACTCCTGAATCCTCGAAGCAATTCAAACTTCATGAACAAATAATTTGAACACTTCAAATGATTTGAGTAAAAGATCATTGCGTACGTTAATGCAACAGACTGCTCCATTGAAGAAAAAAAATCAAAACTTTTCATTATCGGACAGGAGTTCGAAGGATTAGAAACCTGGAAAAAATCTACAGGAAAAAGAAGAGAAAATATCTCAAGCGGAAGCACTACCTACTTCTCTTAAAAGGTCTACTGAAGGACCTACAGCCCCTAAATGTAAAGCGGTATTTCCTACGTAATCGGTTGTTTGAAGAAGACCAGCTCGATCATGGTCGAGGATATTGATGATGGCATTCGTGTCACCTTTTTCAATGGCGTATCCTAATCCCGTAAACGCGTGTTGTTGAGCTGTAACTGCGACTTCGGTTGGTGGATGTGAAAAGGCTGTGCTACCTTCCTCGGTCATTTCTCCTCGAATGGAACATTGCATTTGCATGGTGACATCGTCGTATGAAAGATCAGGAAGAGCGAGGAGAAATGAAAGTTTAGTGAGGGCAGCTTCAGTTGTTAAGTCGTGACCGAAAACTACACCTGCTCTGCCCAAAATGGTGGCTGGTGCGTACAGCGGGGAGACGGAACCGGAGTGGCATTGTGATACGTTGACTATGATTACACCTCTCTCACATGCCTCTTTCATGATTTTGATCATGCTTCCATCATCTCCACTGGGTGCGTTACCGGCTCCGAAAGTTTCGAGAATAAGGCCACGGAGGTTTGGAATACGAAGGACGGCATCGATCATTTCTGGTTTGATACCAGGGAAGATACGAAGGCATGCTACGTGGGAAGTATCAAGATTTAATTGTACTCCGAATTTAGCAATCGATCGTGGGCGACGAACCAGATTCCAATTGACTGTTGCTCCTAAAGCAGTCACCTTTGCTAATGGTTCACAATTTGGTGAAGCAAAAGCATCAAAGGAGGTAGCCGAAACTTTGGTAGTGCGATTTCCGCGGAATAAATTGTGATGAAAGAAAAGACATACTTCCGGAATCATGAAAGTTCCGGCTATGATTAATGATCCAAGAAGGTTATCCACGGCATCAGATTGAAGAGCAAAGATTGAAGCTTGAGATCCCGTAAGAATAACAGGTTTTCCAAGATGTGACAACATAAAAGATAAAGCTGAACTCGTGTATGCCAAACTATCTGTACCATGAAGAACAACGAAGCCATCAAATAAATGATAATTTCTTTCAATCGTGGTAGCAATTTGTGTCCAACCATTTGAAGATATTGATGAGGAATCTAGCAAGACAGGAAATTCGTACAAGGTATAACGAACATGTCGAGAATACGTGCTCGGAGGAGTACGTAAACTGGGTAAATATTCTTCTGTAGTGTTTGTGGTCATAACTGGCATAGGATCTAAGTACAAGTTAGTCACTAATTAATTCTCCGAAACATATTACGTATGCGGTGGATTATCGTTGTCGGAATAAAGCAATGCATATCCAAAGCGGAGATAATGCAATGCAATGAACGACGATGGGATGCGTGTGATATTTCTTAATATAGATCATTCAATGAGAATTGATTGAGATGTCACCGAAGGACTACTACTGACATGTTCCGAAATGAAATTAATTAGAGAGACTCACTCGAGCCATTCGGTGTAACTTGGAGACGCGATTGTGTGTACAAGAAGTCCCTTGAGATCTTCGAAATGTGTAACACTCAGCGAACACCTCCTAGCGACCTTACACGACTTTCGTCATATCGGCGTAAATATCTTGATGGTGTTCGAAATTGAAGACATTGGACGTCATTGAAGGATGTCCAGCTCTCCACGATATGAAATTATATCATACTGATATAGAAACCAGAAGAGTCTAGAAGCATACTATCACACAATGGACGACAGAATGAAAATAATGCCAAAGTCGAATAAATCTAGACTTTGAGAGCAATTTCCAATGATTGACCAAATCTAAATTTGACAACCAAGTGATCCTTCAGACCTAAATGCTTTTCGATTCAACGGTCCTTCAAATTTGAATGTTTTGATGACCCGATTTACTATCAATTGCATTTCAATGCATCAATTTGGATTTGACAATGAAATGCTTGTCAATGTCGATTGACATGTGACAATCGAAATGCCCCTCCATCAGACTACAGACTCGGGGTTTTGGATTATGAATTGCGTACGTTCATCGCGCGTATGATTGTGATTGTGATTGTATAACAAAATTTCACAACATAAGAAAATCTCTTACCTGGATTTGAGCCGTCGTTGAATGACGGTCTAGTAGCCATTCCTTCTTTGAGGAACCCTCTTGCTGGAACCAAGCCTTCCGGTGAAGATTTCATACAAATGGTACCTCCTGTCATAATGATGAGGACTCTACCCTCTGGGTAAGATTGTGTCGCCATGGTGGACATGGTGATATGATGGTGCGCGGTTGGAGGAAACACTGAAGTGAAGGTCGGTAGCGATCTTAGGAGAAATGTATGGGTCGCTAGGAGACTATTTCGTAAGGGCTTGTACTTGAACCCGGAATGTTTTGGGGTTCAAACACAGCTTGAGCAACGAGGGGTAGGAGATTTTTAATTTCCTTGATAGCACGAGAAGAATATGGTGGGATATTGTTTGCCCAAATCGAAGTCAAGGTCTGATATTGTTTATCCAAATCAAAGTCAAAGTATGATATCGTCTGAAGATCCAACACCACACGAAGGAGTGACGTGATGAGATATGAGGAAATGTGATGATGTGGTCGTCGTCGTGGTCTAGATTCAATACATGAATGTAATGTGAAGATAGGAAAAAATTGATTGTGTTCACATGAATGAATGAATGAATGAATGAATTATTCAGAAACATCCACATCCATATTTTTTCGATCAATCATCTTTCACGAAAGGAAAACTATAACGTAATTGACCAATTAGAATTGAGGGTTGAGGATGTTGTTGAAATTTTGAAAGGAAAAGCAAACTTCACTTCAAGGCTCAGACTATCCGAGTTTACCAGCTTATTAATCGGGACGTATGTGGTAGTATGCAACCTTTGGTAAGATCTTATCGTCATGATTGAAAGATTGAGAGATTGAGAGATTGAGAGTGAAAGATTAATTGACTGATTGATTGATTGATTGAATGTCATACCTACCCACCTACCCTACCCTCCACCTACATACCAGTCCAAGTCTCTCGGTCTAGTATGCCAGTACCAACCATCTCGTGATGCACGGAAGTAAAAGTATCCATATCCCGTCGCCAAAATTGAGGTTATTCCAAGAAAATTGCATTATTTATTCACAATCGTATGTCTGATGTTACTTTGTACCCCATCCATCCATCCATCCTTCCTTCCTTCCTTTCTCTTCCCTTTTCATGCAACTCCGTACAAGGGAACGAATTAACCTTTCACCGAAATAGGCTGGACTGGCTTGACTGGCTTGACTGGCTTGATGGATTCGACGGGCTCTATCCATCCGTACCAAGACTTTTTATATATATTGAGGCGTTCTCCTTACTACTACGTACACACCACCGAGATTACTAATCAATGCCTGTATCAAAATCATCTGGAGGACCACCGATGGACTCGGGAGACAAAGTTCATTATCCCAACCATCCAACCATCCAACCATCCAACCATCCAAGCATTCAAGCATCCAAGCAAAAAATATAACAAAATATACTTTCCTTTCTTTCCTCGTACATTCACACATACATACATTCCATATCCTTAAATATCGTCCAATTCCCTTCACGGCGACAATGTCATCAAATATCATCGACATCAAGTTGAATCTTCATTCTCTATTACTACCACCACTCCTACTCTACTTCTTACCACTCAATTCTTACCATCCAGTCCATCCAGCCCATCCAGGGACCTTTCCCTACCTAGTCCACACCATTGCCTTATCCATCGAGAATCACATTAAAAGCTTCAAACTCCACAGGACTCGGTCCCGAGATAAAGTCCGACTTACACCCAATTTCAACCACTCCATCAATCCGGGTGACATACAATTTTATTTCTTTTGCCAAGCCTTCAATTCTTTTCCATTCCGATATAAGCATAATAGTGACATTCATTCTCTTCTATTTCTCTCTTGAATTTCGTGAAAAAGAAAAAAGAATATACACCAGAAAGTCGAAAGTGATCACCGCAATCCAGCCCGCCCTTACTTCGTTCCCGGTACCCCTCGCCCTTTCCTGCATACGCGAAATCCTCCACTCACGCGTATAAATTCGAGCTTGGCTATGCGACAAACCTTCGCATTTACAACCGCAGCTATGGCAGCAGCTTTAGAAGATACCCCCGTTTCCTACGAAGATTTGGCAGAAATTGAAAGGGAATTTGATGATGTTGAAACGGAAATCAGTATGTCATATTATCTTTTCTTTTTCCTTTCCCTTGTGACGTTGGAGGTACTCTAATTTGCCTACTTTGGAGGGGTCAAGTGCGCCACGACTTTTGGACTTTATCAGATCAAGATCAAATCGGGTCCATCTTTTTGTACGACACTCCATGGATGTGCCTGTATACATTACATTCGTTTTTGATGATTGTTCCGTATCTTTATAGGACCTGCCAATAATCTTTCTATGGTTCGATGTGCTTAAATATCAATTGACTAACTTCCTATCAGTTCGACAACAAGTTTCCCTTACTCAACCTCTGTATGCCCGTCGCAACAAAACTATCTCTCAGATTCCCAATTTCTGGGCCCTGGTACTCGAACAGGCTCCTCCAGATATAGATCAATACATTCAACCTTCCGATTCCGCTCTTCTACTTTCCTCACTTACCTCCCTACATGTATCGCATTTCGAACTCGAAGATCCACAATCCAACAATGGAGGAGATCCAAGATCTGTATCAATTACGTGGACTTTCTCTCCAAATGAATATTTTACAGATGAAAAATTGGTCAAGAAGTTCTGGTATAGAAAGAGTCTTGGAGGTTGGTGTGGTTTGGTCAGTGAACCAGTTAGGATTCATTGGAAAAAGGGGAAAGATTTAACCGGCGGCTTATTGGATATGGTGTGTGATGCTTGGGATGCAGAACGAAAGGAAAATTCGAAAATTACTCCACAACACAAATCACTCGAGAAGAAAATGAACAATACAAGTATGGGAGGTTTAAGTTTCTTCGCATGGTTTGGATTTATTGGTCGAAAAGTTAGTGAGGAAGAAAGTAAAGAAGCAAATGCGAGAGATTTAGCAAAGAGAGAAGCTAGAAAAAATGGAGAGAAGGTGGTCGAATCGGATAATGATGAGGTCGATGAAGATGATGAGGATGATTTGGGAATGAAATTGGAAATCTTTCCGGATGGTGATGATCTTGCTATTGCTATTACGGAAGATTTATGGCCTGGTGCTATCAAATATTTTAGTTGGTCTACCCCTTGATTCCTTAACGAGCAATTATTTGCTTCTTGACCATAAGAATTGTATTGACACATAATTATAGCCGCAGCACAAGAACAAGATGCACTATCAGATGCAGATTTTGAATCAGATGGTGATGATGATGATGAAGAAGAAGAAGAATCGAATGAAGCAGAGAGACCAAACAAGAAACAAAGATCCTCTTAATCTTCAGGATCAGATATCTTCTTTGGATTGATTTGGTTTTATAAAGGGTCTTTAAAAGGGTTGATTGGGTCATGCGATTTTCAGAATGGATATGAAAAGTTTGTTTATTTTTTATATCTTGGTTGAATTTCTCGGGGTAGGTAGGAAAAGGATGGTTTGCTTGGATGGCGTGGTGTTCTTTTGACTCGGAATTGCAATTGCGATTCGGATCGGATTGATTGAGTTGTTTGGATGCAATGAAATTTAATTAATGCATTGAGATAAGATGATAGATTATCAACAATTGCAATGGGGAGTTGGAGTTGGAGCTTGAGGTTTGGGATTTGAATTGGAGGAAGGATCTCTTTATTTTTTGATACCTTGTGGGGAGAGTGGTAGGTGGTAGGCAGTGAATGGATGGATAGTAGAAGAGGATGAATAGATGGATGCATGGGATGGTTTAAGAAAGAGATTTATATTTGGTATCTAGGTACTCAAGATCAAGGTCATACTTATTCATGCTCATTCTCATGCACATGAGTTGTGCTTGGATTAGAGCCTGGAGTATGTAGGCGTATGAGTGAGTTATAGAAATGAATGTTTCTTTTTTCACTTATTTACCTATCTTGGCTTCTTGGCTTCTCGATATCTTGATAGTACACAACATCATTTCCTTTTCAATTTGAAGAAATGAGTGAAGAGTGGTATCGTGAGCCGATTGAGTTGTATGATATGGCATGGTATAGTTTGGTACGGTTGGTATGAAATGAAGTGAAATGAAGTGAAGTGATATCAGATATCTCATCCGTTTCTTATCATGTGAAATGTTTATTGAGTATGGAATCGGGAGAAGTGACGGGCAGAAGCTATAAGTGGGAAATAGTTTAGTAGATAGGATGAGATGAGATGAGATAGATGAGATGAAATGAGAGAGATTAGGGTTAGGGGTTAGAGTTAAAAGTAGGGGGAGAATGTTCGAATGGGTAGGTAGGTGTGATTGATGTGTTTGGTAGTGTAGATGTGGTATTACAATGGGAATGGAAATGGATAGTTGATGGGGGGGGGGGGGATCTTGATTGGGATGTAGATGGGGAGGGGTATGGGAAATAGGAAATCGCTCTTGGGGATGAGGTGTGTGGTAGGTATGTGGTATATGGAAAATGGTAAGCTAACATTATAGTCTTGTAGTAACTTTAATTAAACTTTGATTTATTATATGTAAGGAGAGTTGAAGAGTGAGGTGTTGAGCGAGGGAGTGAATGGGGATTTTGTGAAGAGAAGTGAGGGGAGGAGAGGATGTTTGTGAAGGGCAGAGGAGAAGAGGAGATGAGATGGTGGTGGGTAGGTGATGGGAGAATAAAAGGGCTGTGTAGATGGAGGGTTCTCGGAATGGGAATGGGAGTTGTACTGGAAGATGGAAGGTGAGATTGGTCTTGATGTTTGATTCTGATTCTGATTCTGATATTGATGTTCTTGTTTGAGGAGAATACTAGTGGGAGGGTGGGGTAACGGGGCTCCTGGGCGGGAAATGGAAAGGAGAGGGGGGTTTACGTGCAGTTGGGTGGCTGAGTGGTTGATAGAAGCGAGCGGGTATAGAAATTACTTTGTTGAGAAATTCATTGCATCCCAAAGACGCGGGTAATGAGAAAATATCAAAAATGCAGGAAGTGGTAGGGGATTGGGTTCCTATCTTGTGGGAGAGGAGGTTGCGAGCAGGTACTTGATTCGGGTATAGATACATTCGACAGTATCAATTGGTATGAGACGAGAGCCGATTTATGGATTGTCAAGTGTGTGCGTGTGTAAGTGGGTTGATGATGGTAACCAAACCGACGAAGGACGGAAAATCACGGAATAGAGTGAGATGGAATGAGATGCATGGTAGATAGTATGAGGAGGAAGGAGGCAGGGAAGGGACGATAAAGAACTCGGTGTATGTTGAGTATTGGAGCCATAGCGGTTTATTTCTTGTGCTTGTTAGTATATTGATATCTTTTTGATAGATTATGCATTGGAGTACTCGAGTATATGTCAGATGAATAGATGGAATAGAGTAGAATAGTAGGATACGTGGGATACGTGGATGTTTCTACATATGATCTCTCTATTCTATGTTTGTATATGCAACGGCTTTGGTGAACTTTTCTTTCTTTCTCGGAAGCGAAGATTGTGTATACTTATTAAAGCACAGTGTATTCAGAGTTATTCCTCTAATTTTATTTCGTGTCTGTAGAAGCTGGAGATCTTGCTGGATTGGTGGATTTACTGTTTTCTGCAGTAGTTCTGATATTTTTCAATGCTGGGAGGGGAATGTGGGAATGGATAACTATTTCTTTGGATTGGACAGAAATACTGACACGGAAGATTGTTGAAAGAAGTTGAATCGAAGATATTAGCCATGTCCCTGGGGCCTTGAATGTGGAGGTGATATTTCTGTCGAAGAGACTACCTAGGTGGAGGAAGAGAAGGATATTTAGCAGGGAGGTGTAACGTAAGAGGATAGCAAGTAGTGGTGAGACTAGGAGGGTTGATGATGAGAAGTTATACGTTGCTAATTCAGAAAGTTTGGAGAAAACACATAACGATAGTAGTGATAGCAACGAAAGCAGGACATGGCAATCGAGTATACGAGATCATTATCCAGACAGCGCTTTGAGATATTTCTTGAAATTTCATCTCAATAACCGAGGTTCGTTATCACATAAGAAGATATGACAGTGCAATTTCGAATTACGCAGTCTCGAAACACCAAGAGTCCAGAGAGAGAATCTGAAATACAGGATTGGAAATTCTCTCAAGATTTCTCCAAATACTAAAACTGTGTTAGGGGATGTTATTATCCGAGACTATAAAAACGCCTTTTTGTTTTTCCTCCAAGCAATAAGATGCGGATAAGATTCCACGAGAAGGACGGAAATTTAAATAGAGAGGGTTAGGATTGGTAGTTTCCGCGATACACAATGAATAGATTATAGAATCGTATGAGGCATTTTTATTACTTACGGAGACTACTTACTGTGTTTGAAGATGGAAGGATAATGATACTGACTGATAGCAAATAGAGAACGTGAACAAGAGGGCGAAAACACAGATTTGTAGATGCTGATAAGTTAATGAACTTACTCACAATGATAAACGATATCAAGACAACAACGAAATATTAAGACAGCTCCAGAACTTCACAGAATTCATTCAGCAATTTGCAACGACTTTTCAGACACTTTTCTCCACAAGCTATTGGATCTCATCTTTATGCTTTCCTGAAATGATTTGGAGCCAGCATCGCCGTTTTTAATGAGATGAAATGAGATGGGATTGGTGGATTATATAGATTTTGTAAGGCTTCAAACTTTGAGCTTGACGGTGTGCAAGTGATGAGCGGAAGAAGTAATTCCATTTATGCGTCACATGAAGTTATTTTTGCGAATCCCTTTCCGATATATACCATACAAGCTAAATTTTACTCTGTATATCATAAACGCAAAGTTATCCATACCGAAGTAAGAATCGAGAAATTCCCCCCGTAGCAAAGACGATGAGGGGCCAGAGACAGTAAATATGAGCAGCTATGATTTGGATTGAGGTGTCGGAAAATCGAACACGTAACTCGACGACAACAATTACATCCTAACGATAGCACTCATAATTACGTTTCCTAAAACATCTGGAGAGCAGGTGATGGGTTTAAAGAAAATGTCGACAACGTCATTCAGTCCTAAGCATTATGAAATCAGGGCTTTCCCCTTTGAATAAATGAATACGTAGACCCTAACCCATAATTTCCGAGTATAATCCCTTACTATTTATCCACCCTACACGCTATATCTCGCTATCATACCATAATCATAATCATCTAAAAGTTGTGTTGCACATCTGAAAATGTATTCCTGCTTGGTCTCTGCTAGATCACACTAGCTCGATATAGCACAAACACCAATCGAAAAGTAATACACAATAATCGCACAATAACCTTCCAAACCTTCTAGATGATCATGACATGCAGTTTTAACACCTGTTCAAAGTTCACACGCTCTCCACCCTTCTAAAGTTACCTACACATCTAAGCAAGCAGCACTACAAGTGAAAGCAAAGGAAACTAGATCTCAATACACCTTCACACCCGCTACCCAATTCAAGCCAGACGGAGCAAAAAGCATACACAACAAGACCTCCATCACTCGAAAGGTCATCACCTGATACAGTTCATCCGTTATTCTCGAATAACCTATACCGAGAACGAATATCCCATGATCCCATGTGCATCTTTTAATCGTTGACACCATGCTTAAACATCTATCTGCAGGGTGAAAAGATCTAGATCTGAAAATCCCGCATTCTAATCTCTCAGCACGCCGCAACCGACCTTTCAGACAAATGAAGGGTCACAGGCTTGGTATATCACGCCTGCAGACCTTGAGATTGACGATACGACACACAACAAGACACATACATACAGGAATTGAAACGAGCATTAACCGCATGTATAGGCTGAACACACCCCCTCCCCTAAACCCCCTGTTAACAGTTCTTCATTGCCGCGGTACTCCAACGAACAACCAAGATAAGTCAAAACGATCAATGCATGAATGACACCATTGATCGACTACCAATGCATGCACATGCATCAGGTACCACAGGTAGCCATTAACTTTAAATTTCTAGCTGAACCACAAATCGAAGGCGATAGTTCGGACAAAAGTGTCTAGCGCTGCCGAGAAACATTTCACCTGCAAATCTGATCGATTTCCCCTCTTATACAGGGGTTTTGGATGAATTTTCTTGATTGGCTTGCACATACATGGGTAGTGCACTTAGAACCATATATGCATACGAACCTGTTTGTACATGGATCTCTCATGACTCGTGAAAGGTGTATGCAACACAACTACTGCAAGTCAAACCCAGTATACATATTCTACCTTGAAAATCTAGACCTCATATCAATAGTTTCAAGCTGAACTACAGACAGGTAATGTTAGTGAAGTTTAGCGTGTATCTTCATCGTTTGAAATGATGACGATGTATACTAGAAGATGATGTTGCCACAGCAAGCTGTGTCCGACATGTGTTCTGCCGCAGAAATGTAAATTCGGCCTGAATAGTTACAAGCTGAATTGTACGTAAGTAATGTAAGTAAACCTTGGCGCATAACTCCATCACTTGTCATGCTTGCGATCTGTACTGAATGGTAGTCTTACTGAAGCATCAAAGAGAAAGAAAAAGAAGATAAATAGTCGAGTTATGGAACAGAGAAAAAGATCAATCAGAAGAGAACAATTCATTCACTTCCATTACATCCTCTGATCAATTCAAAATGCCTTACAATGCCCGATCAAAGAATCTCCCTGAATCAGTTGCTAATGGTGGGCTAGAAGACCCCCGAGCATCTCACCAAGCATTTTTCAAACAGCGAATGACTTGTCGAGACGTAAAGGATTTCATATCCAACACATCAGAATTTTCGCTTTTGGAACCTGGATCCAACAGGACATCTCAACAGGGCAAACGAAACAGCAAGAGCCAGACCAAACTTGATGAGATTGTTTCTCGTGCCAAGGAGATTGGAAAACCTGGCGCTAAACAGAATGTGGGACAACCTTTGTCGGATCTCGTCCCGGGGCTAGTCACCACTGGTGGTTTGAGTCGATCTCCTGCTTTTGATTGTCTGCCTGTGGTATCTCATTGGGCTGAGCGTACCGATGAATCTTCGGCCGCAGATTCTGCGGTCACCGTCCGTCTATCATCGACTTGGGAGAGCATTCATGTCATTGGAGAAGGAGCCACCATGCAGTCTCCACTTGGAGCGCCTTGCTGGTCGCTCAAGACTCATGGCATCTCGGCGGTCGACGCGGAGTCGAGCAAATTTTCTCAAAAATACGTAGCCGAAAGCAAGACCTTGGTCACGACTGTCGCTTTGGCTCGTCGAGTCGATACTCCTTTGACCGGAGGAGTTTTGAGCGCTGCTACTGGTATCTCTTGGATACGAAATACACGCGTAGCAGATGCCGTCGATTGCGCAGTGGGGTTACTTTCCGACGCCGCAGAACTCTTGACCGCACGCAACAAGGTACTAGCAACAGGAAATACACAGCGTCTTCCCTTTGCGGAGGTGCAAGAGGTACTGATGCCCACTTGATGCTCAGTGCGTAAACCTCTTCCTCCAAAATTGAGTGGCGTGGCGCTCTCAAATGATCAGGTTACACTCGACGTCCTCACACGTGAAGATTGCGAGGGGCCGCTACTCAACACCAGCGTCTTTTCAATGGCGATTGGTTACAATCGTGGTGTCTATGGTGGATCCATCTCCGGATTATGGGCAATCATGGATTCAGCATTCGTTCTCGATTATTCCATTGGAAAAGATAGCCCGGAGATGGCGGATAAATTGGCTTTCAGCTTCGCTGAAGTGGCAGCTGTTGCCGAAACCTCCGTGTCCGCAGGTCCACACATCACAGACATTCGAGTTGTCAAAGGGTGCAATTATTCATGTTTACGCCAGAAAGCGATAATTGAAGATGATGACCCAGGACGCTCCCGCCCGTGTATTGTCGTGTGGAATGACTTAGCCCGATTAGCACGTTATAAGCTTGCAGATGCCGTTTTCTGTCATGTCTATTACGATGCAGGTGGCGGGGAACAGATGGCGGCAATTGCAGGGCTAGGATGCGTGGCACACGATTGGATTGATCTAGGAGCCGATGTAGCATGCGGCGAAGTCAGCAATATTATTCCTTCATTAACAAGGGGATCATTGGAGGAGAAGCCACTCGCCGAAGTGTACTCGCGTCTGACGGGTGCAATGATCTGGTATCGCGATAACGACCCATATAATCCTGCAGCTCTCTGCCTTTTGTTCACCCACTGGTGGCAACTTGCCAACTGTCGCCACAGACCCATCACCCTTCTTGGCCGGACCGATCTTGATGTCGACAAGTCCATTATCGCCACAATTCCAGATGCAAGACCATCACTAGAGCATTTTCGAGCCTCTGGTATCGAAATAGAACGCAGCTCACAAGCCCTAGCCAACGCTGAGGCACGGCTCCAATCTATTATTTCCTCAGGTCCTTTGCCAGAAACCCAGACTGTCATTGATCTCCTCGTCAGCCCTGTTCTTGCATACGTCAAAGGCGGAGATCACCTTCCATTGGAAAATGAATATGTTGGGGCTGTCCTCGCGGTGGAAATAGCTTATCCTCATGGGCAAAAGATTATGGAGTTGTGGGATTTGGCAATTGTCATGTGGGAATGCGGAGCTATGTGGGGGGCAGGAGTGGCCGGGCTTGCGTATACACACAGTGGTCGTTTGAACTGTGATAGGGCTCGCGATGACTTGTCGGAAAGTACCTGGAGCTAAACAACATCGCTCGTTGTTTCTACAGCCATCATACTGAGCATTTCAATTTATTTCCTTGATGAATCCTAGAAAGCATGGAGTCAAGCCTGCGTGGGAATTTTCCTTCCTAGTGAATGTCCATTGTGAATACTGTACTTCCCAATTGAACAAGCTTAATAGTCAAGTGAATACATACGTGCCGGATTTTCTTATCCCACAAACTGTGTTTTAAGTTTGTATTGACCATCAAGCAGTCATCCAAAGTGAAAAGCTCATGACTATCCCTTGCTTGAATATAGACAGAAGGGATAGAACCCCTCATACTCATCTCAGAGGCTATTTCCACTATTCGATGTCCAATTCTTCGCTTACAGCAGTCCCAACCCATCTTGGTACCCATATACACATCCCACGTTCTTCACACGTTTTTGACACGTTCCACACCCTTCCACCACGTTTCACCCCATGCACCACTTCCCAGCCCCCGCTTTAGACCTGAGTACGTGTGCCATCTAATCTCGTTTATTCCAAGAAGAAGATGCTTGATGACGATCACCATCTAACTTCCACTCTCTTCCCAAACACCCATCTTCTTTTCTTTTTGTTCTCCCAAATCATCTTCGAAGTATTTTCAAACGGATAATTCCACGAGCCCCCCCCGCCCCCCAAAACGAACTCGGGTCTCACATAGCGCCGCAATCCGAGCTCCGACATAACGGTCTCATTTCCCCAGGCCACGTTTAAGCGCACGATGTAAGCATAGTGCAATCCTTCGCATCCAAACGCACGTGCTTATGCAACCCAGACGCATGAGAGGCGGCACATCATACACCATCAACGACCAAAATCTTATCTTGACGAGCTGTCATAAATCCCACAACCACGGTTCTTTCATCTTGGCAAAATTGCATGCCGTAACGTTGCGTCTTGGGCTGTATTTCTAATCTTCCAAAATCAAAGAATTCAAGCGCCCAAGCCCATAGGCGATCTCCTAGAATGTCTTGTTCATCGCGTGTGAATTCAATATGTTCTAGCACTAATCAAGACCGGTAGTACCCGCCAATGTGGAATGGCACGTTAACTTTCTCCGTGGTCCCCACCAAATCTCCGTACCCGAAGATCCATGGCCGATCCTATCACATTTCATCGTTTCCTTCACGCATCGGTTGATCTATGCCAATCTAGTTATTGAAGCACATGAACATTTCCCAAGAGAAGTACAGAAGCTTTTCCGGCAAGATACATTAAAACATTTCCTACTTCGGTATAAACCTCGGTATACACCTCACATGAATGTCTCAGTCAAATAAAATAAGGATTGCTAATGCTCCAATTTAAGTGGTATGATTCTCAAATCAGCCGAGTAAATTCTCCGGACCCGGTAATTAAATGTATTAACAATGTCCCGGATAAGTCATACTTGCATTTGTGTGGACGAAAAAAAAGAGCTCAACAAGAGAGAGCAAAATAACAAAAATATGTACTTAAGCAGTGACAGTGAGAGTGGATGATAAACAAGAGACAGAAATAAAGAGATATCAACTAGTCTAGCCTACAGAAAGAAGGAAGGGATCACAGAATAGTATGATAATCATATACTCCATGGAATATTCTTACAACTAGGATTGAAATGAAGCCATCCCATCTTCGTGCATGGCAAGAAAGATTAGCCGAATCCGAGTGAACGGATATACTACTCAATACATCAACTGCAGATTATGATGTTTGTGATAAGTGATAGAGAGTTGACCCGCCAGTAATTTAAGCAATGTGATAGTGGAGACATGATGTGATGTGACGGACAAGCTTAGACCGGATTGCAACAGGTACCACTGTAACAACGGGAACGCGGGATGCAGGGAAACTTCCCAGTATCTTGAAATCCACGGAGATTTTCTTATGCCCGGAATTCTTACCAGCATCTGAAACGTCAAGATGATCGATGAAGGTGAGCAGCGAGAAAAAGTGGTTTGACAGATATTCAATTATTATCTTCCATTCGTATGTAAGATTGGGGCTAATCCCCGAAACATCTGGTTGGCCGCCGTGACGATTAATCCAGGCCAAACACCCATCCATCCATTCCTCCCAATATCTCCTTCCAAATAGTACATGTACTTCTCCATCCCAATCACTCAACCAAACCTATATCTCAATAACACAATAATTCAGAAGACAAACAAAGGATACCACCACCACCACCGCCATCCTTGATGACAATCTTCGAATTTAGAATTTTCCTTGCCACCTGTCCATCCATTCATCCATTCATCCCTCCGTCAGTTGCCCTGCCCGTCCAATATGTGCCGTATAATTTTATGTAATGTAATGTGTTGTATGTAAAAATGTCTTTCGTTCAATCCAAAAGCCAAGTAGTAGTAAACCGAAGTTAAAATCTCGCTCGCATCGCAGTCACAAAAGGGTATCCAGGCGTAGTTCTGACATCCTTTCATTGAATTCCAGTTCGCGCAAGTGCAAGCAAAGCAGACAGAATGTAGGAGAATAAAAGGTAAACAACTCGCATATGTCATTTTTCATCTCGTCGTAAAACCCTAGCCAGCGGTTCGAAAAAAGTAGTGAATGCGAAAAAGGGCAAAGCGAGTACGAAGCGAATTAAAAGACTGTTCCATCACTGAGGATGGCGATTGGTGGACATTGAGTGTTAGGTCGTGAGATTTCGGCCATTTCTCTGCCTCCCTATTTGATATGTTAGTACAATGACACAGAATGGATAAATCGATGTGACATACCTTCCAGCTACCAGCCTCCAACATCTGTGGCAGAGACAACTTATCTTGACCAAAAAGTCCTAGACTGGCATTGACCTCTTCCAATAACAAATCTAAGAACCCAACGGTCACAGCTCTCCACTCAACGATCACATCATCATCTGGTGTGAACATTGGAACAACTTCCAAACTTGGTTTGCCTTCTCTTTCTGCATTTCGGTGGAATGCTTCGAGGCCTCTCTTTGTTTCATCTCTTCTCAGCGTCAATACGCCAGTATCAATGAATAGACCTCCATTTCGATATTCGGGTAAACCAGTCAATAATTCAGCTCCGGCGAAATGTATGTTCATGAGCTTAGTCATTGGTTGCATAAGAGAGTAACAAAGCCACTGAGAGAGTTTGTGGAAAGGAACGATTGTTTCCCAAAGAGGGGTTGCGGCATCTGCAGGCATAGTAGTTAAACGCCATGCATCACCGATGGATGTACCATCAACTTCTGTGCGAGATGCTGGCCAGATTGGTGCAAGACCATCAATCAGGACACTCCAAAGGGTGGGCAGAGGAACGATTGGTACAGATGCGGCTTGTGTAGAAGGATGGGAGATGAGGAAGTCTGTAAATATTAGGATATGATTCTGCAAAATGTTGTAAAGATATTACGTACCTAGCATGTTTCCAGGTCTGGCATCTACACCGAAGAGAGAAGGATTTCGTAAGGCTTTAGCAAGTTTAACCAGTAAGCCGGTTCTACCTGCCAAGCCAGCAATCGGATTCTGCTCAGTGACTTGTAGACCTGAGCTCATGATTTCCACAGTCAATCGGGACAATCCATCTGCATCGACTTGGTGTGGTTGTTCTGGATCACTACTGAAGGTACCAGCCTTGAACATTTCCAAACTGGCAATTGCCAAGCCTTCACTTCTCCTGTATGTGCGACCACTCTCAATACTCTTATACTTCCATGATGTACCGGCACCGGCATCGAGTAAAACAGATATAAGGAAGAGATCGAGAATTCGGCGACATCGTTCGGAAGGATCAACTTGGCTTGGCCAGCTTCCTAAGAGTTCTCCGATTCTATCTCTACCTCCTACGTTGAAATGTTGCCATCGACCATGAGGAGGAATGGCGTTATAATCGGGTGCAAAATCGCGCTATAATCACAACAGACATTAGGAACGTTTTCTTTTGCACCAGTGCAGTGTGCAATGGAGATGTGAATACATACCTTGATCACCGAGACGACAAACTTTGTGGTATCCTTGAATCTTCCCATATCAACTTCGAAATGATTCAAATCGTTCTTCTTGGCCTTCTCCAATACGATGCCACATCTTTCCCGTACAGCACCAATGCTTCTCAAATATCCAGCTGGGTCGACATTTGGATCTGGTGCCTTGGGAAGTGCGATCTTGGGTATGGTGGGGATAGACATTCTTGAAAAGCCAGGAGTGGAGGGTGATTTTAGTGAGGATTGTGATGAGCGAAAAGATTGAACTTCAGTTAATTGTGTAGAGTTTGTTCTTGATGATGAACCATTCGAAGGAGAAGTCTTTTCTTTGCGTGAAAAGAGGCCCATACTTCCGTATTTAAACGTCTCCCCTTGCTTGGTCGGTATGCCTTCTTTATGCAGATGCCCTGTATGATGCAGCGCAGTGCGTCCTTTTCGTCCCCTGGTAGATAACTCGTAGTTTCGTTGGCTGGCCGTACTTGGTCACAATCACCGGATGCCCTGTTAATCTGCGGAAAAGCTAGGTCGGTCTTTTTATTTTATTTTAATTCGAATCACTTTTTTTTTCTCGTAACGGGGCCTTTTTGATTATCGTTGTTGGCAAATGCACAGTACAGACAGCGCTCTGGTTTCGATAAGCCCGTAGCTGATTTGGAGAGGGGAGGGGGCTTTGTAGTCCTTGCGGCCCTTGTTGATATCCGTAATTACTTGATCCTTTCCCTTGGATAGCTATAGATTTACGGAGTAGGTCGATATTAGGTCCTTGCGTTTGAAATGTTGTCTCGGGAATGGGGATCGACGGGTTCACACCGCGGAAGAGGGAAGAAGGAAGAGAAAAATGATTTGATGGTTGCCCGAGACTTTTGGTGTGGATAGTAAGTGGGGGAAAGTAGAGAGGGTACTACTGTAGTAGAGAGAGACAGAGAGCGAGTGAGCGAGCGAGATAGGATAGGATGGATAGGATAGTGAGTGAGTGAGAGTCGTAACTGTGGATACTAATAATAAATTTTTCTTAATTTTCCAAAGAGGAAGGAAGGATAATCGAAAGTACGAAGGAATAAGTAGCAAGTGATAACGAATAAGGAATAATGAGTGTTGGATGAATTATTCCGATTAGTTATATATTTCCGTATGTGAGTAAGTATGTGTGTAGTAAGTAGTACCTAATAAGGTAGATGGGACGTGATTGGACCCAAGGACCTATGTAGGTATGGTATGTACGAGTTTTATATATTCCTTTAGGTGTAGGCAAAGGATATGCGTGTGTGCGTGTGTGTGTGCGTGTGTGTGTGAGTGAGTGTGTGAGTGAGTGAGTGAGTGAGTGAGTGAGTGAGTGGATGAGTGAGTGGATGAGTGAGTGAGTGAGTGGATGAGTGAGCAAGTGAGAGGGAGAGGGAGAGGGAGAGAGACGAAGAGGAATGATCTTTGGCAGGAAGAAAGAAAGATGTTCGAATCTGGAATAGAAGATGTATGTTGTGTATGTATGATGTATGATCGATCTATGATGTATGATCTATGTATGGTTGGTGTATTATTATTAGGTGAGAAAAGAGTGTTTCTTCGTATGGATTCGTATGAAGTACTAATGAATGTGATATGATCGTCTCGTCTCTTTTCTTTTTGACCAGGTCCAGACTCCAGAACAATTTTGCTCGGATTCCCACCTCCAGTTTTCTCCTCGACTTTTCCCGTAGATAAGCACAGAATAAGGTAAGGTACCAACTGTAAATGCGGTGATATTAGGAATAGTGGATTGTGAATAGTGGAGGAAGAGGTGGCTAAAGGATCATTGGCAGTGATTATTGTGAATAGTAGGAAGTACCTTGTAAGAAATTGATGGCATATAAAGTACCCGGAAAAAGTTTATCAAGAATCAAGATGGAGCTGGACAATATCGGATGAAAAGCTGCTTTGCTTTGCTTCGCTCTGCTTTGCTTTGCTTTATATTTGACTTGATTTGCTGATATCAGGTTTCAGCAATTCTGCTGCTTGACGCTTCCAATGGCACACAAGAGGCCTAGACAGGTGATACTATTGGTACGAGGTTCAAGATCTATGTTTGATAGTGGAGACAACAGCGATTAAGATGTAGCTATTAGGTATTCGGATAACATCGATAGTCTTCCGGTAAGCATACTTAGGGATACCGGCTGGTATGTACTATGGCTAGCTTCACGTTCCTATCTGGATCTGTACGTATGAAATCCAAGGTGAAAGTTATGATTTATCAAAACGTGGTGGATGGTAAGGTAGATTCGTTGATCTAGTCGTCCTGGGAGGATCACATATGGCCAATTGTGATGATATCTAGGACCATGGAGAGAGTGCAGAGCTTCTTCATCAAGTCAAAACGAAGTTGATGAATGGATACCTATGTAGGCATGCAATCTGTGTAGGCAGATAATGTATAATTAATTGCTTGTAGTATATACGGAGTGGCCATGTAGGATTAGATCATTTACATGAAAATACATACGAAGGAATGATTAGTCAATGCGATATGAGCAAATATATTCCTGTCGGTCCTTGGGATGTCAAGATTAGCAAAGCAATCCGGATGATGCGAGATCCACACACACGACGACGTTAAGGGAGGGGTTCAACTCAGTTAGGGGCCGGTATACTTTCAGGATCTGTAAGAGTGTGAGAGAACAAGAATACGCTTCTAATAAGCCACCGAGACTACCTGGGTATTACTCCATGCAGAACGTACACCAAAATGCGTTGCGTACTTAAATTTTAAGAAAGATCCATAAACCGAAAAGGCCGGTGGCATATTGATTACCGGCTAAATCCCTTTCTCCATGCATGAGGCAATATGAGGCGTTGATTTGTCCTCATTTGCCTATTGTATTCCTTGCGCAAAACGGGCCAAACTATTCATTCCTGCATACGGGGAAAGTCGTGCAAAGCGAGATGATTGATGGCCAGTATGAACTATCTAAGTAACGGTTCGAGCCTCAACGCCATCGTCACTCTTGAGCCTGCGTAGTATGCGACTATTACTAAAACTTCATTCCGTATGGTCAGTTTTCAGCGAGTGCCGACTAATGCTGAGCGTCATTGTCCAACGAAACTTCAAAGATCGTAAATCGACCAAGGACAAGTCCGGGAGAAAGTCCCTAATACCACCAAAATGGACGAAGCGACGTTGACTTACTCGTTCCCCAGTCTACATCATTGCGATTTTCTAGGGTTCAACACAAAGAAGCAACGGCGATGGCGTACTCTGTGGGAATGGAGAAATTGATTTGTGCTTGGGACTATGTACTGCTTCCTGAGGAATGATACTACGCTGGTAGAAGTTATGGATTCACGTTCAATGTCTAGGATTAATTGGCTGATAGGGAGTAAGGGGAGCTTGTGTCTAAGCCTACCATTGGACCAGCTAGTGGGATTGGAGGATTGGATGGGAATCGCGATTATCCGAAAACGCCTCACGCCATCTACGGAACTTCCGTTTACCATACATACCATGCCTGACACGATTCATGGATGCTCGGGAATTTGTTCGAGCTTGGTAATAGGCATTTAGGTACGATCATAAAGGCCAGTTTATGGTGGGCGACGATGACCATGGTTGGTTGTTACACAAAATGGGTTTTCATCTATTACAGTTTGTTGACACTTCGGTACGGGTAAGCCTTCCCTCTCTCGCCTGTTCGATTGCTGGGTGGAGTGGTGGATGCTTCACAATGCAGAAGCTTCGAGGGCTCCAGCTTCAACCCTTCAAAGAGTTGGAAACACGGATTCAGCCCCAAAAATACGGTACCGACGTAAGTGTCCCCATATCCACCACCCTTCCAAGTCTTTCCTAAATTGCTTCTAGTTTTCCAAGTCCGTGGACACTGCATGTCTACCTTGTATGTGAGTACCTACACTGTTGTGGAAAGCCTCTCGTACATAAAGAATGAGGCTTGACATGATTGGTATCGGCATCTTGTCCCAGAGAGTCATATTGAACCAGGATTGAGGCCTTTAGCACCGAGCACAACCATTCTATCCCCATCCCGAATATGCAGGTACGAGTAACGAATGGAAACCTAAGATCCATATTTCAAGGGTTCCAGTGGGCCGGCTCGCGGACAAATAGTGAGGATTTTATTAGTCTATGATGGGCGGGATGCCATGATTATGAAAGTAGCTAAACAGTAAACGATTCTCGAAGGGAGTGATGATTCACCCAAATTGCATAATCTAGTGAGGAAGACGAAGATGAGGGAGCAGGAGGATTCTTGGATCTATTGAAAGGTGGCGAGAGATGAGAGATTCGATTAGGAGAGATAAGATGATGACAAGGAGGTCAAAGAGGAAGGTAGGATTTAAGACGACATTAACCTTACAAAAGGTAGCACCCGTTACGAGGGATGGATAGTATGAAGAAAGAGGCACAGATGGGCTTGTGCTGAGATCAAAATCCCTCGGCACCTTCTGGCTTCTGCTAACGATCTGACCATTCGAGTATCGATCAACCATTCATTGCCCATTAACCCAAAGATGGGGTTTGGAAAAAAAGGTTTAATCACGGTGCACATCATGAACAGATTTTGAATTTGGTGTAAATTGCAACGCAACATGTCCTGAAACCGAGTATGGAAATCGATGATCTATTCATGCACCTTCCTGCACAGCTGCTGGTTGACTCACGAGCCGCTTCAATTCATTTGTTCTCTCTACCCAGAGAGAATGGGGAAGTGAATGGTCCCCGAAACGGGTGACGAGATCGACCTCCAAGTTTCCCTTGAATTGCATCTCTCATTGCCGTTGACGTTACTGCTCCATGTGGTTACCTTGTGGTTACAGTTCTACCATCGGTACGGTACGGACGACCGGTTAGCATCAATTCAACTCAATTGGGATTTTACACCCGTTCAGTGACCATTCAGTGACCATTCAGTGACAACGCTGGCCCAACACATACGTAATACATTATCCATACTCACATGTAAGTGTGCACGGCGGACGGGCTATTCTTCTGTTGTTGCCAGAAAGCATAATTTGGATCTTCAATATAAATTAATATAATTCCCATCGGCTATGTTGGTGCTCTATTGACGGATTGAGGAACACCGAAAGAAGACCTAGTAGACCCTGGAAGACTTGAAGACGGAAGGGAGAGGTGGGCAATATGTATCATATCATATAATAATAATGTAATGTAAATATGAATACGGTCTAGAATTCGAATTCCCTTGCTCTGATTTTGCAGGTTTTTGTTTGAGAAAAGTGTTTCATGGAATCGATACCTCTGTTTGGTAAGATTTGCTCACATCGTGCAATGATTACTTTTGTAGTGAGTCGTGAGTATTGAGTAGTGACTGCACGGAGCAAATGGAGCATCTGGAGCAAAAGAAGTTTAATTGTCAAACGAAGCTTTAGCCTCTTCCACACAGCCAGACATAGCCAGACATCCATATCTATGTAGCCAGACTTATGAGCCAGACTGAAATCAAGGGGGAAATTCTTCGGCTGATCGTACTCGGAGCCGGAGGATTTACTGGAATGAGTGCATCATGAATCGACATTGATACTGATTTGATATTGATTTGATTTGATTTAATTTGGTGGCCCGAAATGACGGAAAGTAGGTAAACTCAAACTCATCCTAAAGAACAGCTAACAGCAGCCTCCGAAGCTATCAAGGCCAAAATCGTAAAGCTTCATAAGCTTCATTTCTCTTTCGGGAGATCAACCATTTGGGCCATTGTGCTGGGAAATATTGGTTTGTGCTCGCACCGAAGATTGAAGCCCAATCGTTGTAGCCTGAATTCCAAGGTCAGTCAGTCAGTCAGTCAGTTAGTCAGTCAGTCATTGTCGCCGAAAGGAAAAAGCGTGACATGATGGCTACGGTAAGCGAAACTGTCACCAAACGCAATATCATTGGGGAAGGAACGTCATCATGAATGTTCAATGATTTCAACAATATCCTCCCGCAAATACCTGAATAGTGACTTCCCCTCTAATAATTGATTCCCTACGCACATCTTTTAGCCCTTTACGCATTTCATGCATCCTGTCTTTTCCTTTTACGTCTAAAAATGGATGATCTCAATGGTCTAGATTGGTCTTCTACCTCGAACACGAAACAAAACAAAGTATCACCTGGCACAGGCAATTATTATCCCACCTTACGTCCAACTCCATCGCCTGCGAACTCTGGACGGAATACCCCTCTGTCTGCTCAAGCTTCGGGAGCTTCAAAATCATTTGCGCAGCCCAAGACGAAAGCTCCAGACAGCTTCTCGAACCTTGTATCTTTTGGATCTTCGAAAACGAACACGTTGACATTACAACAACAGCAAGCAAAGTTACAAGAAGAAAAGAGGAAGAGGGAGGAGGAACAACGCAAGCAATATGATGCGCAGTTTGGAAATACACAATTTTGGGATGGATTGGGCAATTCAGGAAAGAATTTGGCCGGGTTGTCGCCAGTGCCTTCACCAATCCCTGCCATGACGAGCCAACCTTCCACATCACCATTTGCGCCAACTATGTCCCCTCCGCCAATTGGAACTGGTACTGATGCTTCTGGGGACGATGATCTTTTTGCGGCCTTCAACAAAGATACTAAAGTAGATAATTCAAGTCACTATCCACCACCTTCTACCTCCTCAAGTCGTACGCATACTCCAGGATTTGGCACAACCAAAATACCCGATTTAAGTAACCCTCAAGCCTGGGATCAACCTATAAGCAGTTCGGGGGATTTTGGTGACGACGATGATCCATTTGGATTGGGTCAATTGAAACAACCAACCTCTGTGCCAGTACCGATTTCGAACACAGCGGACGATGATGATTTCTTGGGAGATTTGGGAAAGCCAGTGGAAGAAGTGCGGAGGTCTACACCTGCGGTGCCGGAATTACGCGAAGAATCAAGCTCTGACGATGAAGAACCTAATGACCCTTGGGATAAAGCTGTTGCTGAACTTGTGGATATGGGATTTACGGCAGAACAGTCGAGGCGTGCTTTAACCGAAAGTGGCACTGGTCTCGATATTCAAGCAGCTGTTGGGTGGATACTGAACGATGCGCATGCGCAAGCCAAAGCAAAGACGCAACCTAAAGAATCTAGTCACCGGAATGGTTCTACTTCACATGGGGAAAGGAGGAATGTATCAAGTGACGGGCGGAAAGCCAATCCCGCATGGATGCGAGAAGAAGGAAGGTCTCAATCACAGCAACCTCGAAGGGAAGACAATCATTCACCGAACAATGAGAATGACTTTTCCAAAACTGCTGCTGCTGTTGGAAGCAATATTTTCAAGACCGCGAATTTTTTTTGGAAGACATCTCAAAAGAAAATTGAGAAAGCGGTTGCCGAGTTTCAAGCAGACGCCGATCCCAGTCAACCGAAATGGATGCGAGAAGCTGCAGAAAGAGAAGCTGCGTCTGAGCAACGTGCAAGGCGGGTGAAAGCTGAAGCTGAAGCTGCTAAAAGCACACCTGACGTCACGGATGAAGCTCTTGCATTAGAAAGTGGATCTAGGCCTCAGCCAAGGAAACCGAAAGTAGCCACGTCTGATTCGGGTACTTCACGTGACAGTTCTCCAGCTGCTGCAAGATTCCCTCCCGAACGGCCTATGTCTAACCCACGCTGGCAGCAAACCCGACCCCAGAGTCGACCTACTCCACCCCCAGCGGCTCCTAGGGTACGAGTGAACCGGCAAGCAATAGAAGAAGAAAGTGCCCAGGCATACGTAAGCTCTGCTCGACGGAAAACACCCACTCCTCAACCCACACGAGAACCGGAACCAGATCTTCTATTCGGATCATCACAGTCAAGGCCATCTTCCACACCAGCAGCTTCTAGGCCAGCACCGAAAGCGACAGCCGCATCAAAACCTTCTACACCAATTCCGTCTAGGCCAAAGGCACCTCCACGTACAATCCCTGCTATTTCTCCCATCGCTCTGAAATCTTCGACACAACATCGCCTAGAAGGCAAAGCACATTTTGATCGTGGTGATTACTCAGCAGCACATACATCTTACACCTCATCTCTCTCACCCTTACCTCAAAATCATCCAATAATTATCCTCTTACTTGCTGAACGATCGATTAGCTCGGTCAAAACCGGCCATCCACGTGAGGCCATATCTGATTCTGATCGTGCTATCGAGATCATTGGGCCTTCTCGTGGTCAAGATGAAATAATCGACTTGAGTACCGGTGCTGCAGATGACCGTAAATCTATGAAAGAATACTGGGGCAAAGCTTTGACAAGTAAAGCCGAAGCATTAGAAGCACTTGAGAAATGGAAAGAGGCCAGTGATGTCTGGAAACTATGTATTGAAAGTGGTGTTGGTGGAGCTACAGCTATCCAAGGTCGTCAACGCTGTGATAAAGCTCTCGCTCCTCGCCCAGCGTCTCGTCCCGTTCAAAAATCTAGACCGAAACCCTCGGCTACCGCATCCTTAGCTCCAACTCCTGACTCGGATGCGGTTCTGCGCTTACGTGCTGCAAATCAAGCTGCTGAAAAGGCAGACGATGAGAAATTGGCTCTGGTGGATAAGGTAGAGGAGAGAGTTAACAAATGGAGGGAAGGAAAACGAGATAATTTGAGAGCGCTAATTGGGAGTATGGAAAATGTACTTTGGGAAGGGAGTGGTTGGAAAAAGGTCGGCTTGCATGAATTGGTTGTTAATTCGAAAGTCAAGATTAATTACATGAAGGCGATTGGGAAGTGTCATCCTGATAAGGTTAGTTTTCTCTCCGTTTTTACATTTTCCTTGAGGGTGAAGATGGATGTGAAATCGGTGGAAATGAGAACGGATGCTAATAGTCATGATTCTAGTTACCACAAGATGCATCCCAAGAAGTGAGGATGATTGCCGCAATGGTCTTCTCGACATTGAACGAGAGTTGGGATAGTTTTAAAGCGCAAAATGGCATGTAGAGAAGGAAATGTTCTGTGATGAGAAGATGGGATGCTGAGATGCTGAATGATTGGATTTGTAAAAATGAAATTATGATGATGACAATAGAGATGAAGATAAAGATGATAAGATCCTAGACAAAATTTGCAAAAGCTTTAATCATTGATGTGATTGTTACTTGTTTGTTTGTTCTCTCTTGTGTTGTGCTTGATACTATACTTGAGTAAGGATCATTGGTACGAGTACCTATACTTTTAGATCAGCATTTACACTACGCAGGTAGTAGGTACATACATACCTAGGTAGTTCGAATAACTAGTGCTCTCCCACGCTCACTCTAAACGAAAAAACAGGCACACTAGAAAATGGGCATCACTTTTATAATTATCTTCTTAGATCAATAATCAATATTTATAATTTCAAACTCAAATAGGTGATTTAAGAGTTTTTAATCTATAATATATCTTTGATTTAATCAATTTATTAACGTTATATCTTTCTCGATTATTATTCAGTTTTGAAATAATAGTGTTTTATCGAAAATCTTGATTTTGACGGTTTTAGTATGCCTGTTTTTGCGTTCAGAGTGAGCCAGCCGCGTTGCGACAAACGTGCATCGGAGCGGAAAAGCTCGCATCCCGCGCGCACATTTTTCGCGGCTAACCGAAAAATATATCAAAAGCTTCGAATTCCCTCTTCAAAAATGTTTCAAAAAAGTATCACAAATGAATGAATCATTGCGATTTGAATATGGATGGACTAGCGGCGAATCGAACGCCGGACCTCTCCCATGCTAAGGGAACATTATACCACTAAACCACAAGCCCGCTTTAGATGTTTGGACTATGGTTAATAAGTAATATAAAGCAGGATTGCAGAGTGGAACAAGGAAGTGGATGAAGTGGATCGATGTGGATCGATGTGGATGTGCTCCGGAGTTTAAACGAAAAGATCTATGGTGTGGTGTAATGAAGGAAATTCATACGCAGTTTCTCGGTGACTCGGTTAAGCTTGATGTTGTGTTGTGTTGTGTTGTGGAGGATTTTTTATTCGTGGTGGATTGGAGTAAGGAAGGAAGGGAGGGAGGAAGTAGAAGGTGGTGGTTATCATGATTATATGTTTTTGAAGTTTGAGAAAGGGGTTGTGAGGGGGAGTGTGGTGTGTGGGTGGTGTGATATGGGATATGAAATATGTGATATATAGTGTGTTTTTGTTGTATCGGGTTTGGTGTAGTAATTGTGTGTGTGCTGTGTTGAATAGTCGTAACTTGTGGAATGGGATGGTAGGATGGTGGGATAGTGGGGTGGTGGGATCTTTTCTGGGTTGTCTGTTAGGATAGAGTTTCTTGGTGTAGAGGTGTAAAGATGGTGAATGGGAATATGTGGGAATATGTATATTTATCTGGAGATGTGTGGTAGGGAGATTTGAATGAAGGTTTGGATATACTCGGTTGGATAGATCATGGATATATTTCCTTGAGATTTCTAGAGGGTAAGTGAGGGAATACCTGGTATTGGAATGGATGATACTGTCTTGAATTCGTGTGCTCGCACATACAAAATCGATCGCTCGATCTCCCCTAGTTTAAGAAGCTGAATTGCGGAGCGCGAACGATTCATACGTCGCTGATGTAGATGTCATTTGTAGAGGAGTAAAGAATTTATTTGGAGATGTCTTTCGGGATTCCAAGGGGTTGGTTCGGAATATTCACTCTACTCATCACGCACTAGAGGTAAATGGATCAGGTGATTGAGTATTTTTCCTATAGGTCGCGGCTTGAGAAGTTTTGTTGCACGTCCGAGTGCGTATTGCATACCGCTTGGAGTTATGTGTCGTAGTGCCTGTGGTTGATCAGGCTAGCGATAAGCTAGCATATACAAACTAGCAGCTTTCTACTGAGCTAGTAGCGAGCTAGCAGAACGCTAGCATATATAAGAATTCAGATATGCAACAAAACTCTTAGAGGCTTGATAATTGTCATCCGAGGGTTGTAATTGTTTGACTCTGGGATACATTTGGAGTTTAAGGGGTATAAAAGGTTGGATGGGAGTATATGATGTGTAGATCATAGTAGTTATTGTCGGGAATAACGATAGATCTTGTTCTCGCTGGAGCGTCAAATCAAAGCAATGTTCTGGACTGTCGGAAACTTTCGACGTAAACATCGATATACCGTAAAATATGAAGCATGATAGAAGATGTTGCGTTTCTTCCATTTACTCGATCGCGACTTCTTCCTCAAACGGCAAATATACTTCCACATGCTTCAGGTGGGCATCTTAACATCGGTCCTGCCATTGGGACAAAGCAATTTTGATATGAGAAAGGTTCCTTCTTCATCTTGTAAGGTCTCTCATCTCTAGACATCCGTTCTTCTTAACATATGATCCTCAATAACGTCAACTTGTTACATTATTCACGAATAGCCTTATACTTTTACACTTGTCAATCTTAGCTGTAATCACTGAATCAATCATAGAGACATTCTCTACCCTGAGTATGTACGTATCATGTTCATACTATTGCTTTCATGACAAATTTCACTAACTTCCGCTTGTCAAGTTTAGTACCAATCTCCAAGAGCAAGAATATCATTTCCAGCGTCTTCTTTTCTATTATTGTCCCATTATCTTCATAAAAAGTCAGTCTCAGGAATCCTTCCACAAATAATTCTAAACCAATAACATGGTAAAGTGGTTCAAACAAAACTTCGCCGGGATGGACCTATCCCCGTCCATCGGCACACAAGCACCGCAGCTCCAAATACCTCAAGTGCAGTGTCTGTTGCTAATTCAGCATTTGTTGTTCCCCCAGCGGACAATGTTGATTCCGTAGTATCCGTAAGTTCCAGAATCCTCTGGCCAGCCTCAAGACAGGAAGAAGAATAATAGATTTTGAATATTTCTCCAAGTCTTCAGTACAAATCACACTAACCAAGAAATGCCAATATAGATCGCAATGGAAGTAAGCTTCATGGAACTTTTAGTACATTGGTTGTTGACAGCGTCTTTTGCCACCGGTGTTTGGTTCATCTGGCATCTTTTGCATTGATTTGGAATAGGATAGCCTTCAGCGGGATTGTCGATCAAATTTAATTAGACTATTGCAAAGCCACTAAGGCACAGCGTATTATTTCATCTCACAACGTCAAGTTTCTTCATGTGCAAGCGTGTGGCTTTTTGTGTTAGACACACTGAAATCTGCCGTCGAAATTGAAAGCGCAGAGATTCTGAGATGTGCAACGGTGCGAGTATCGAGAGTTAGAAAATGCGGAAGCGAACAATTGAAGCTACCTAATTGATGAACCTGAGATTGCTGAAATTAATACGTATGTAATACTTTGATACTGTACTCAGAGGTTAAACTAGACGTAAATATGACTCGCAGATGTATAGATAGGCTCCAACATGATAGTAAAACTGTAGCTTTCGAAATGAATAAATGGTATCAGAAATCCCGAACCAAGTTCTTGAATACACAATTTAGTTCGGACGGGAACCACCCCGGATAAACCTATCAAACTCGAGAGCGCAGAGAGAATTTCACCAGCAATGAATGCGTTTTCAAGGAACAAATTATCATTCCAAGCTATAAGCAAAAGACAAAATTTCGGCTTCACAGATATACAATAGTGTGGCTCTCAGCACTATATGCGCCTGCAGAGACTAGTGACTGAACTCAAAATGTCGCGGGATCCGTAGTTTGGGCTTCAGACAGTATCTCACAAAAAGATAGTGATTGACTTTCGAAAGTCTCAACGTTTTGTATCTCTGCATGAGGACTACCCTCATCTCAATTTCTTGATGACTGCAAGCAAGCTAATGATAACTTCCAAAACCATGAGATGAGCGTAAAATTATCATTCTTGTCTCACATATTGAAATGAAAGGAAATAAATAATCAATCAAGCCATATTAGGAAGTCCAATTCTTCTTAAGTAAAGAGTAATTGCGACCTCGAAACCGCAAGCCAAGAAAATCGAGATGTAATTCATCACTCGATATGGAGCTCGATATGGATATTGCAGGAAGAAAGATAACATCCATACCATTGATCAAGAAGACAGGGTGATGGCATAGCAGAATAGTAACCATTCAAAACATCGAGATGCGGGAGATAGTGATGCATCAAAGATTACCAGTATCAAAGCTAGCACCCCGAGAACTTTCAACGGCAAACAATCATACTGGGTCTTGACAGCCTTGTAATACCATTTTCTGGCTCTGAGACCTGTATTTACTTCTCTTCCAAGACAACTTCACTGATAGACAGTCCTAACTTTCCACTGAGCTGGGATGATAGTGTGCTTGAAGTTGAGCATGGTCACTTCATAATATAACAAGAACTCACCCTCGAGATCTTTAAACGGAAAACATAGAGTAATAATCAATGAATACGCGAACAAACCAAGATTCGTCAATCAATCAACCGTGACATCAGGACGCACGGCCCTAGGAAACCCACGCCAAGAATCACTTTAGATCCAAGCTCTAAAGCTAGCCTCGACAGCTTGATGAGCATTGAATCTCCAAACTCGAACGATTACAGCTTCTCTCTCGTTCACCCCAACACAACCCATTCCAAACAATGTAATGTCTACCCCTCAGATCTGCCATCTCCGCAGAACCGTCCTGAATCGCACCTCCAAAAATTTCTTCACCTCCTCTCCTCTTCCCTCCAAATCCAAGCAAATCCGAATTCCCCAACGCTTCTTCTCATCCACGCATCCTCTCACTTCGACCCCCAAATCACACACCCCCATATCCGCGACCTCATTCTCATCCTCTCGTTCTCGTCTGCAGAATCGTATGCAAACGCTGCAATCCCGACTGCCTAAGTTTCTACATCCGTATACAGCTCCACTACTCAATGCGCCAAAGACATATATTATTTCTTTTTTAATTCTGCATGAGATCACTGCTATAGTACCTATTCTGCTTCTCGCCAGCGGATTTCATTATTCGGGATGGTTACCTTCTGATTTGATACCTGAGGACAGAGTTGAGAAGGCGAAAGGAATGTTTGAGAGGTGGTTTGGGAGGAGAGGATGGTTCGGTTATACTGCGGGGTCTAGGTCGGATGGGGTTGGTGAGAGTGACGGGGGGAAGAATGTGAAGCTGGGTGAAGGAATGATTAGGGAAATGAGAGGAGATAGTAATACGAGTGGGAAGAGGGTAGTATTAGAAGTTGCGACGGCGTATGTGATTACGAAGGTGTTGTTACCCGTGAGAATAGTGGTTTCAGTTTGGGGCGCGCCTTGGTTTGCAGGTGTCATGGGGAAAATTGGGAGGCTAGGAAGGGGAGTTGGCAAGTGAGATTTACTATATAGATCGTGGGATGGGACTTATGTGGTTAGAATGGAAATGTATATTTGTGTCCGGGTACATTCAGATGATAGAAGCTGGCCGGGAAATTAAGATACGACTTCAATGCGGAATGAGAAGGATGGCACGGATGATTACGAAACTCAATCTCATATGGACATACATAGCTTGAGGTTGATTGACTTTTTATTCGTGTATATGCCTACCCACCATCATCAGAAACAATCTTCAGATATGATATTTGGAGCTAATTGTTTGTTGGACTAAATGACAGAACATCAAATCTAATCTACTTCTCGTAGACCCAGTCGTGTTGAGCGGATTTCCATGAGAGAACCTCACCCTCCTTGAACCAGAGAGCAATCTCCTTCTTGGCGTTCTCGACGGAGTCGGAACCGTGGCAGACGTTGCGTCCGACATCGATGGCGAAGTCACCACGGATGGTACCTGGGGCAGAGGCCAATGGGTTGGTGGCACCGAGGAGGGCTAAAGGAAAATAGTTAGATGGTGATTGGTGGGATAAGTGAGAGAAAGGGGTTACTTACTACGGCCAGTCTTGACGGCATCACGTCCTTCCCAGACCATGGCGCAGATTGGGCCAGAGTTCATGTCTAAGTATTGTTAGATGCGTGTGTGGTATGTAGGTGTGTTCAAATTGGCAGATACGTACAGTTGACGAGACCAGCGAAGAATGGCTTGTCGGAGAGATCAGCGTCTGGGAAAGGTGTTAGTATCAATAGTCATATAACGCCTATTTCATCATGTACTTACAATGCTTCTCGAGGTGGTCCTTTCCTGGGGTGGTGAGCTTGATGGCAGCAAGCTTGTAACTATTTCTCATGTCAACAAAGCACAAATATTCTTTGCAAAAGGTAAACCTACCCACGAGCCTCAAATCGGCTGATGATTGGGCCAACGAGTCCACGCTGAATTCAATATCAATCAGTATTCTTTCATCCTCTTCTCTCTATGTAGAATGGTATTTGCATACTTGGACACCATCTGGCTTGATGGCAATGAAGCTATTCGACACAAAAACGTTAGTATACACCGCTAATACTTTGTTGACGTGGGGTAACTCTCTTTCAAGAGTAAAGCACACATCCCTCTCATAGAAATAGATCGATAGAATAAGGAACTTACGTTTGTTCGGTAGACATGGTATCGTCGTTTGATCTGGCAGATTCTTCTCTGTGTTTTGCTGATGCTCTTAAGAGTGCTTGAGTTTTAGGATTGACGTGCTTTAAAATCGATTCGGGGGCTTCACTCATATTTTAAATTCTTTTAGGTTGAGGTGTGTTGTTTAGTGGGGTTTCCTTGGTGGGGTTTGGCAGGAGGGGCGGAAGGGTACCCTTTCTCTGTCGATGAAGCCTTAGATGTGAGGCGTGAACAAGGGTAATTTTATGTAATATGCACAAATTCCTATCATGGCTCGTGGGCAATTGTATCGCCAATAAAGCTTTATACACATGTTATGCTAAAGGTACGACCGGGGAGCTGAGCTTTGATCGTCATTGGTGAAGTAGAATAGGACAGCTTGGAAACCTCAAACCCCCCCAACACAAGACTTCAATTCTTTATGGTTCTGTTGTACAAGCCATTTGTTCATATATTTAGCTATTTAGCAACTTGATTTCATCCGAATTGAGTGCAATTGCTAAATATTGCATGTATTTTCAATCATGAAGTCACCATTAAATCTGTCCTCACAATGGACAGGATATTTAGTTTTGTTATCAACATTTGGCAGCTTGATTACACCAGCTAGTAAGGATGCCAACAACAGCTTTCTGTGCAGAGTTCACTGACAATCTAAATAGTATCTGTTAAGCATGAGAACTTCAAAACATGCGATCAATCTGGATTCTGCAAACGAAATCGAGCATATGCGGATCAAGCAACAGCAGTGGGAGATAATTGGAGCTTACAAGCTCCTTATCGACTGGCTTCAGAGACGTTAACATGGAAGGATGGTCAGCTACAGGGAACCATCCTCAAGAAATTGAGTGGAGGAGTGTCGGTCAGGTTACCGATTACCATTTCTTTCCTCGAATCGGGATCTGCGAGAGTTACGATTGATGAAGAAAAACGGCAAACGGGCGAGATTGAATTAAGACATGGTAGTAAAGCTAGGAAGGAACGCTATAATGAGGCTGCAAATTGGGCAATTGTGGGTGGGTTGACTTTGAGTAAGGATGCAGAGTACAAGAAGTACCCTGGAGTTTCGCACATTACCTTTGGTCCAGATGGCAAGTTCAAGGCGGAAGTTACACATGCTCCATTTGCAATCGACTTCAAGAGGGACGACGAGATACAAATTAAGTTTAATGAACGGGGATTGATGAACATGGAACATTGGAGACCGAAGATTGAGAAGCCAGAAAAGAAGGAAGGCGAAGAAGAATCAGCCGAAGTTCAAACCGGCGAAGATGAGTCGACTTGGTGGGATGAATCTTTCGGTGGAAATACCGACTCAAAACCCAAGGGTCCTGAGAGTGTTTCTCTTGATATTACCTTTCCCGGATATGAGCATGTCTTTGGTATCCCAGAACATGCTGGACCCTTGTCATTGAAGCAAACCCGAGGCGGAGAAGGCAACCATAAAGATCCTTATCGTTTATACAACGCTGATGTTTTCGAGTATATCATGGATAGTGAAATGACTCTATATGGAGCCATTCCTTTCATGCAAGCACATCGAGCAGCGTCAACTGTTGGTGTCTTTTGGCTGAACGCAGCCGAGACTTGGATTGACATTATCAAGGAGAAAGCATCCATGAACCCTTTGAGTGGAAAAACTGACACAAAAACTCATTGGTTCTCAGAGAGTGGTTTAATCGATGTGTTTGTCTTCCTTGGACCAACACCAAAGGATGTTACAAAAGCATATGGAGAGCTTACAGGCTTCACACAGCTTCCTCAAGAATTTGCCATTGGTTACCACCAATGTAGATGGAACTATGTTACCGATGAGGATGTGAAGGATGTTGACAGAAAGTTCGACAAATTCCAAATCCCATATGATGTTATCTGGCTTGACATCGAGTATACCGACGGAAAGAAATATTTCACTTGGGATCCTCACACTTTCGGAAACCACGTTGATATGCTGTCGCACTTGGATAAATCCGATCGAAAACTTGTTGCAATCATCGACCCTCACATCAAGAATGAAGCAAATTATAAGGTTGTTGATGAATTAAAGAGTAAAGATTTGGCTGTTCACAACAAAGAGGGCAGTATCTATGAAGGTTGGTGTTGGCCAGGATCTTCCCACTGGGTTGACGCATTCAATCCTGCAGCAATCGAATGGTGGAAGATTCTCTTCAAGACTGCTGCCTTTGATACACCTAACCTTTTCCTTTGGAATGACATGAATGAGCCATCGGTTTTCAATGGACCAGAAACAACTATGCCTAAGGATAACTTACATTTCGGAAACTGGGAGCACCGTGATGTTCATAATGTCAATGGTTTGACCTTTGTCAACGCAACTTATGAAGCAATGGTCGAGCGCAAGAAGGGTGAACTTCGCCGTCCGTTCATTCTCACTCGTTCTTTTTACGCCGGAAGTCAACGCATGGGAGCTATGTGGACTGGTGATAATCAAGCTAGCTGGGACCATCTCGCAGCTGCGTTCCCTATGATTCTTAACAATGGTATTGCAGGTTTCCCATTTGCTGGTGCAGATGTTGGTGGATTTTTTGGTAACCCTGAAAAGGATCTTCTTACCCGTTGGTATCAAGCTGGTGCTTTCTACCCCTTCTTCCGTGGACATGCACATATCGATACTAGAAGACGTGAACCATATCTCATCGGTGATCCATACACGGATATTATAACCCAAGCCCTCCGTCTCCGTTATTCTCTTCTTCCTGCCTGGTACACCGCTTTCCATGAAGCCAGTACAGACGGAACACCCATTATCAGACCACATTACTTTGAATATCCAGAAGACGAATCTGGATTTGCAATTGATGATCAATTTTTCGTCGGTAGTACTGGTTTACTGGCCAAGCCAGTCGTCACAGAAGGTGCCGATAGCGTCGAGATCTATATTCCTGATAGCGAAGTTTACTACGATTACTTCGACTATACCATCTATACCGGCGCGGGTAAAACTACAGTCGCAGCTCCTCTTGAGAAAATTCCTCTACTTATGCAAGGTGGTCATATCATCCCTCGCAAAGATCGTCCTCGCAGAAGTTCGGGTCTTATGAGATGGGATCCATATACTCTTGTTCTCGTCCTCAATAAAGAAGGAAAGGCAACCGGAGAATTATATGTGGATGATGGTGAGACTTTTGATTATCAATCTGGGGCCTACATTCATCGTTCTTTCTCCTTTGAAAATGGGGTATTGAGCAGTAAGGATATTGGAACAAAGGGCAAATTGACAGACAAATATCTGAAGAGTATGAAGAAAGTAGTCGTGGAGAAGATTCTTGTTGTTGGTGCGCCAAAGGAGTGGAGTGGATTGAAGAGTGTGAAGGTGGGCAGCACAACGGCCGAGATCACTTACCACGCAGGGGAAGGAAGCAAAGCTGCTTGGGCGTTAGTTAGAGCGCCAAAGGTAGCTATTGGAGAGGATTGGGAGGTGGAGTTTGTAGAGGGAGGAAAGACGGAATTGTAGTTGTGATTTCGCACCGATGAAGAAGGTGGAGATTTAAATGGAGGATTTAGGATTAAGATGAGGATAGGAAATGACGAATTGAACTGAATTGTTATCCATATGCAAGATCTGAAAGTAGCAAAGCTCCCTTCTTGAGTAGTGAAATTACCCTGGTAATATTACTGTCATGAAATTTTGAAAGTCCCCCTTTATTCCAATACCATTTGAACAATATGAGTACACTATGCCATGATAATTCATTCCCAGCATCACATCACACTGATTTTGAAGCTAAGATCTAAAGACGTCTATGATCATTTTCTATTTATCTTCTCTTCTTCCATCCAATCCACGAAGTACAATTTTCAAATTGAGAATCACACGGAAACCTAGAACTCCTCGCTATGAAGTATGAACGAACGAACGAACGAAAATCGGTAAACCAAGTGAAATTTACCCAAACTGAATCTCAAAGCCAAGTTTAAAATTAAACCCCAAACTCCAGACCCCAGAGATAAAAGAAACCCAAATTCGAATTCAAGAACGCCCACTCCTAGGAATGCCTTCGCTTAACACCGTGGTTTGTGGTTGTGGTCAATCTATCTTCCTGAACTCCTCGCTATGAATTGAGTGTGTATTTTTTTGCTGTTTGGATGTAGTCATGTAGTCATGCAGTTAGGTACACGTATACACATGTAAGATTACAAAGCCTTGCTTTGCCTCTATTTTGGTATTGTGTATTGTCTATTGAGGTTTAATTTCTTTTTATTTTCATTCTGATTGCTGGTTTAATGTATTGGTCTCGTTGGGGGATATAGTGTATGTACGTGTAAGTCGTGTAGTCGTATAGTCGTGTAGTTAATTGTGTACATCGTGTATGGATGTTGAGTGGAAGTTGTGGAGAGAGCAGGAGAGAGTAGGTGACAGGAGCAAGAGGAGAAAGGAAGGAAATGGAGAAGCATAAGAAGAGAAATCATCAGATAGTAGCTGCAGCGGGACGAATATCTTCGCGGCCATCTTGCCAGGAGGTGCAGAATACGCAGCGTTGTGCCTGGGGTTTACAATTGTGAGCAGGTTTAGATTATGCAAGGGGTTGGAGTTGTTTGACGGGTGATTGGAAATAGTGATAGGGAAGAGGAATAGTAAGTAGGAGGTATAAAATAAGAGGATAAGAACTCGCAAGGAGAGAAATAGAGGGAAATGAAAAGGTGAAAAAGTGAGGAGGAAATAACACACCTTCTCGAAAATCTTCTTGCGACAATATCTACAACGGACGGTGTGTTTGATAATAGCGTTATCTTGACTGAAATATTGGTAGAGACCTGCAATGCCGTAAAGAGCGAGACCAACGCCTATGAAGTTTATCACTTTGTTTAGGAAGGAACTTGAGAGGTTGTTAGTTTGTGACTTCATTGGGAGAGAAGAGAAGGCGCTAAGAAAGGTAAATATAGAGAAACCAAAAACCTACCCCCAAGCTAAAACAATAGCCCCGTCATCTATCGCCTGCTTCAAGGTGTTATAGCCTGCTCCATACAAAAATTCCATCCCCATATTTACGACCATAGTTGCGTTTCCTTCTACTCCCTCTCCAATTCCATCACTAATCTCAGTGCGGTTATGAAGCATACCATCATAATGTGGACCAGGCCTCAGAACCGCAAATTTCTCTTCAAGGTTCTTGTTTAGGAAAGGCAGGAGAGAAAGCGGTGGGAGGAGAACAGAAGAGACAAGTGAGGTTATAAGAGCTGTGAAGGATTGCGCTATTCTGTCTTTTTGTAAGCGATTGTTTGAGGAAGTACGTCACGTGTAGGGAATAGAGAAGGTCATGAATGAAGGGGATAGCTGAGGAGAGAGAAACGTACATCAAACCAATAGCAACATGAAGCACATTGTCATTGAAAGCAAAATCGACAAATCCCTCCCAAAATCCCGTAATATGTCTACGTGCAGCGTTGGCAGCATTGGTAGTTCGGAGAAGTGGTTCGCTTGAGTCGAAGGCATTAAGACGTGGTCGAGGCATGGTTGATTCTCTTTCCTGTTGACCTTACTAATCCAATGATTTTTCCTGTTTTTAAACAAAAAAGAAGGAAGAGAATAAAGAAGGGGGTTCGGATGTGAGTTTATAAGGGATAAATGATAAAAAGAAAAGATGAAGAAAAAGAAAGGAAATGAATCAATGCAAATGAGGGTTGGAAGGAAGGATGAGTGAATCTAACACCGGTGAGATGTCTTTCAGGGGTGCGTATCAGGGGCTGGCACGTGTAATAATTAGAGTTATGTGCAGGGATAATGATAAGGCGCGATAAGCGCCCCAGATTCATCGGATTATTCTTTGGCCGACCACATGTCGAAAATTAATTTTTTTCGGTGTTGATGCGGCCGCTTGGATCGACCCCTCATTATCTTTTGGAAAAGTTCACTCATAATCTCAAGAAAGAAATATCACGAATAAGAACTGGTAATTGTAATTAACTGGAAAACAAATACTACGACTAAGAACAGCTACAAAAAATGGCACCCAAATTTTCAGAAGACGAAATCGATGATTTGATTTATTTTGCTCGAGTCGGGGAGAAAGACGAATTCGAGACTCTAAGAGAGGAATTATGTAAAAGGGAAGAATGTTCAGCAACTGAGTTGTTGGAGATTGCAAGAGACAGCGAGAGTGGAAATGGCGTGCTACATATGTCTGCCGCCAATGGTCATCACGGTACTTTCCTCCTTTATCCAGTCGCAATCTGCCTCCTCCCGAAATTGGACCTCAAATCTAACTAACTCCCAAACAGAACTTCTCACCCTCCTCGCAAAACACCTTTCTAATCCCTCTCCTCAAAATCCCCAAATGCTCAAAATACTTAACACGCAAAACGCCTCTGGAAACACACCTTTACATTGGGCAGCCCTGAATGGACATTTAGAAGCAGTCAAGGTTTTGATAGAAAATGGAGCAGATCCAACAATTCAGAATCAGAAGGGGCATGATGCGGTCTACGAGGCAGAATTGGCGGATAAGACTGAAGTTGTGGAATGGGTTTTGAAAGAGGGAGGTGAAGGGTTGGAGGAGGGAATTGCCGGGGATGAGGGCGAGAGTGGAGAGGGGGAGGAGGGAGTGGAAGTTGTGGAAGTTGCGGAGGGAGAGGGTCTGGTGGATAAGGTTAAGGAATTGGGCATTGGTGGAAGCAGTGCTGGGGAGAAATGAACAAGTGAGAGTCTTGAAGAATCAATTTAAAGAAGAGACTCATGACGGCTAGTCAAGCCTGTCTCGCTCTGTGTTAATGATCAGGCGTAGATAGTGCTGGCATTTGGATGACTGAAGTTAGAAGGTCCATTGAATTTGCGCTATTATTGATGTGATAGTCGGCACTCAATAAATGTATCCGCTTCACGAATGGGAACTACATGGGCATCTCTGATGAAACCAAAACGCATAATAAAAAATCAAATATAGAATACCATTGAAAACTCCTTTGCTTTGCACCCTACTTTCTTTCCGATGATTTGCGTGTCGATAGCTTGTTTAAGATAGGTAATGGGTCTTGAAATGCCCCTTATGCCAAATCCATTTTCTGGTAGGACCGTAGAAAGCCAGGGCTACATCACCGATAGTTTCAGCGTTAATAAGTCACTGGATAACTCTTGGATATAAAGACCCCTACATTAGGTCCAAAGATGTAGCCCGCTAGATACTCTCGGAAGAATACCTCAAAATCGATTTGCATCATAATGTCTCATCGTCATTTATTATGAGTATTTACACACTACATACCTACCATGTATAGCTCGAAGCTAAGGCACCACAATCTGAGACCCGAAATTCTGGAGAAAATGAATTCTCCGCCAATTCACAAGGAATTTTAGATTTCAATGAATGTGAACGATGGCGTCTCTCATTCATCAACGAATCTACTAAGTTCGTCTAAACTGCATGTTAACATAGTATAATGAACAGCCAATCGTGACTAAAAAGTTCTAGACGATTGAAGTGAGGGTCTTGGCCAACGTTAGTGGAACGCAGTTGAATTTATTTTCAATATTACTACCGTGACTGATTGCTCAGACGCTGCTGCGTAAATTACACCAGGTCTTCCACGATACGTTCCCATTTTGTTCAACAATCAAAGCTTTATCGAAGTATTAGTACGATTTTAAGAATTCTAGGGTGGTAGACCTGAGATTTGTTGCATACCTGGATAAGAGATAAGAGTATTTGACTTTAAAGTAATGATCTAGAAGCCATGAGTTACACTCCAGAAGCTCGCTTAATTGGTTAGCATAGTTTTAGTGTTGTTAGGAGGGAAATTTGGGATATGTTGCGTATCTGGATAAGAGATAAGGGTACTAGCTTTTGAATGAGTCTTCAGATTGCAGATTAGATGTGATTTATTTTGGTCCTTCAACTAAATGCTTCCGATGCTGTTAGACCTTTGCGAGGGATTTTCTTTTTTGTAAATGTAGATTCTTGTCACTTATTAAGATGCCTGTTTAATGATGGTGGTCTTGGTATTCAGATTTATTGTTATGAGTCTGATCTTATGTGCTGATATCTGTTCTTGAATTTCTCAGTTAGTAGTCTGGGAGACTGCAATGTGATTAGATATCTGCTATCTAGTCTGGTATTCGGCAGAGCACCATGCATCGAACGTCATTTCCGATAGATACAAAATATCGCGGAAGATATATCATGGTGTCAATGAATATATGTTTTCATTCTGTACGGTGTAAACCGCGGAAGAGCTAATCGACGAACTAAATCTAGGGTCCCAAGTCTTTTTCCAGATATCATACAAGTTCAATAATATCTAATTAACATTAGATTTCGCCATTTAGTTCTCGATTCTCCATGTCAGCTTCATCATTATGACCATGATTGCTCTCCTCAGCCCTCATCCTCGCAATAATCCCCTCTAATATCTCGACTTGGGTATCAATACGCATTCTCAAACAATGATCAGTATACATTGTGTGTTCCAGGCTTCGATACAGCTCGAGGTCCATCAGTGTTGACAGTCCTAAAGAGAAGTTAGCAACTGTACTGCGCACTTCCAAACCAAGAAGTCATTATCAGCCCGCATACCAGAGCCACCAGCAAGTCTTTGCGCATCCATATTAACTACATCCCGCAAACTCTGTTCAATCGTTGGAAGATTCTCAAACCATCCTTCATCGGCCCAACCTTGCATCATTTGGAAGCAGCAGAGTAGGATAGTGTAGAAAAGAGGATTGGCTGCGCGATAGGCAGGCCGCTCGAAATGGTTCAATTCATTGCCGATTCGGATGTAAACTTTTTCGGGGGAGACGGTTTGAGCGATGACATGGAGAAGTGCGAGCTCTATTTCTCGGCAGAGCAGAGAACCAGCCTTGAGTTCTTGGAAATATTAGTCATGCGAAACGAAAAACGAGCAATATTTAGGCAATGAAAAGATAGGCTATTCATGGAATGTGTCACTCACCAACAAGACCCTTGGCAGCGTTGATAGCCCAAGTTAGTCGCAACTTGTCCATGAATTTATCAATCGTCCTAGTAACAATCTCGATGGAGTTGTTTGGGGAAGGAAAGCTATCTGATGGCGGTGCCATGATTGACTTGGTGGATTTGATCAAATGACTGAGATGTCTTGGTGAGAATTTAGTAAGAAGTGATAAGTACAGCAGAAGACGAGATGCAGAAACTCTAGTTTGTTTTATTGTATGAAAGCTCGAGCATCAAAGTGTGGGAGACACTTTGTAGCCGAGGGCTTGAATGAATATGATTCACCAAAAAATTTCATTAAGTTCTTTGGTGAACCAGTGGATAGCAAGATAGTGAATTTCCCAAAATTCTTGTACATGGGTATTAGACAAAGAAAGGTTGAACGATCTGGAGGCAACAAGAAGGATTAACATGGAAATCCGAAGAAGAATGATTAAAAAAAGATATTCCCTTGTGTCATTCTTTGCTCCTGGGCTTATGGTAAGAGTACATCTGATGATATTCCTTAAAGTAATGTATTCTAATGAAATGCACAGATAGCAAGAAGCAAGCTGCAGTATAACAGTATAACGCATCTCTATGTTCACTTGATACTGTGCATAACATGAAGTTTCAAATCTATATGGTGATGGTCTGCCGGAATCTATGTGGTGCGAAAGTTGTAGGAGACAATGAACGGTGGTCTTTTACATCTAACGGTGTCGTTGAAAAGAAGATACAATCAAATTCATGCCTAAATTTGGAGCAAAAGCAAAAGAATTCTCATGCTGACTGTAAGGAACAAGCAAAAGATGATTCTCCTCTTGTAAACATGGATATTTGACTATGCGTATCATCAAAAGGAAGATGTAAATCAGCGATTTAGATGTTTTTACGAAGGAATTTGCTATGAATATATGGTTGGTACGACCATAGAGTTGAATTTGCAGGAAAGCAAGAGTATGAAGCTGCAAATTTATGGAAGGATAAAGTTCTTGTTGCAATGAAAAAACTAATTGTACGTCATATTGTGTGATAAATGACGCTTTTTGAGCTGGATAGCTACATAGCCATGATACTACTTAAAACGATGATATGCGGAATGAGTAGAATTACTCACAATGCAATGGTAATATAATATTTAATGGGGACAGCAGAACAGCACTTGAGGCAGATGGCAGAGAATGCAGTAGTTGGAACTAGAATATCAAGAGCAGACATCGAACACGCAAATATTCTACGAATTTGATAAGAAAAGAATAGACATTTCAAATTGTTCGGAAGAGCGATCAAGATGATATCGGTATATAAATGCAGAAAAATAAAATATATGATATCCTCAACAGAGAACTTTGAAAGGTCTGAGTCATTGTGCAAGACGGTCCGTCTTTTATTTACTTCGAGAGACTGTTTCCCAAAAGCCACAACAGTTTTAATCATTAGCCGTTGGTGACAGTAGAAGCTGATAAAGTTTGTGAGATCATGAGTAATTGATCCGTTTGATGAGTAATCACCGAGCGGATTACATATGTTTGACTCTACCGCCGATGAAACTTCATGCTCGTACTGGATTTCATTCACTTCAATGAACTGATAAGACTGAGCAACTTTGGCCCAATCCCACAGACACTTTGTGAGGCTCTTCTTCTGCCCGTCAATTCGAAAGCGATTGTCAGTTGCTGATTGGCATCTTTGTTTTTATCCGAATCCCCTTCAATTGCGATACATTTCATACGGGTCTGCTAGAATGATCCAGTGTTCTTACTAGTATTCCTCGTATTTCGTATATTGGTCCGTATGGTGGTGCGTATCAATATTTTCGAAATGATTCATGTAGGTGATATCGATTCATATATCACTAAAGATATTCTGTATAGAAGTACTATTGAATATCAATAGAAGTGATGTAATCCCCCTTTATATATACGAGATATCATATTAAAGGCTTGATACGCGCCACCGTTACACTACCGTATACTAGTGCAAACACTGGAATGAGCTATCGTTTACATGATGTGTTTGTACCACTTCAGTGAATTTGAAGTTAAATTGATTGAGGTTCAAACATTCGCTCTTTCCCTAGTAGCCAATGACGACTGTGCAATGAAGCTTTATTCCATTGGGTTGAAGCTCGTAAGTTAAGGTATAATGGAAGTTAGTATCGCCAGTCATCCAATACTGTGAGATCTTTGAAGTGAGATGGCACAGTTTTGGAATACCTCAAATGAAACTACGGCAACAAAGTTAGATTGAAATTCATGAGATCAATCTTCGAAACCACTGACAAGGGAAATCTATGGCTCTATGGGAGAATTGAAACAAGTACATGCCAAAAAGCCAAATTTTGCGAATTCGCCGGCACTAGAATTGGAGAGAAAAATCTCTGAACACTTTATCAAGTCAGATGATTATAGTTCAAGTATAATCTAAAAGGACTACTTGCTGCAGCGAGTCTCTCTCTCCGGAATCGTTTTTTCTTTAGAATTCTCATGCCCGCCTCACCTTCATTATCTCTTTTTCGAGATTAACGTCAACGAAGAGAAAATACAGGTGAAGCACAAGGAATTCCTTGAAGAACCAGGATTTCCACTAACACTTCAGTAAGAATTAAAACTTCTCGGGATTATAAATGGTGTATGTCACAGACACGATACTCAAAAGCAAGTCGGTATACCCAAAATTCAACTGTTTCTAATTGCTAAGCTATAATGTGGACTGATAGCAAGGTGGGCTTTTGTGGCTAACACATATCTTTAGCATCGCCATACTGCTCCAAATATCAAAACTCACGAGGCATTAAACCAAATGCATAACTGTCTATCCCCTATTCGACAAAAAGGCCACAGCCGATTTGTTAAATAGAATTCCAACCTAAGCTGCGCAGATCAATCCGGATCAATTTGCCCACCAACTAGCTCATCCGTGTAAGGTTTTCGAGTAGCCGCGACGAGAGCGATAGTGATGGTAGCGAAGTCGCTTCTGTCGATCGATGAATGGAATCTAGTATTTACACTTGATCAGTACAACTAAATCTATGTCAAGCAGTCAGAATTACCGTGTCTATAGTGTAACTGGCTTCTTGCTCTTCCTCAAGTTTCTTGCTCCATGCAGCATTAATCATCAAATTGTATTGATTTTGAGCAGTAGCTAATGCAATTTCGTAATTAGACCTCGCTCTGTATTCATTATCGCAGACGAGACAGGAGCCTGACCGATATCCGTAATCGTCTCCCAGACTGTTGAGGTTTTCTTCGTTTTTGCAGAGTCTATCGTCTCGGGACATACTGCAGAGTTGGTAGGTCCATTTCGTCCATTTGTGTGCAAGTTCACCATTTAGAAGAAGCAAACAGCCAGCCGATTGCAAGATGATAGATGAAACCTTGCACATTCTGCCGAGTGGTGGCTTCAAATTGGGAGGTCGTGATGATGTTTTGTCTTTAGATTATGTTTGGCAGTAGTTGGACTGATATGACAGACAGTGACGAATCCTGTGCAAATAAGAGTCCATCCATAAACTTTGGTCGCCCTGTAAGCATTACTTAGTAGGCTGTTAGTCACTTGTGTTACATTGTTAGGCTCCAAGCGTTGCCCAATGAAAATTAATTTGGATATATATAGTGAACTATGGCTTTGTGTTTCTTTTTCTTTGGATCCTTTGCGCGTTTGTAAATTGGGTAACACGAAATCGCGGTGTGACTGACCCGCGAAAGCCGGTATCTGGATTCTGGATCATCGTATGTTGTTGGTGTAACAGATTACTTCAAGCCCCATAAGTCATTGAAGGATTGATGCAATTGCAAAAGAAATAGCGCAGTTAATGCGTGTATCATCTTGAATATACAGTGCAGAAACAAGATCTACCTTGGCCATGATCATCTTTCAGCTAGCAATCCAATTTGATTAGCGGTCAAAATATTCAAGCAAATCGATGCTAGCAATGACAACATACATCTCACTAACAATTGCCTTCCTCGCTCGTTGAGTTCATTTACTCTTTCCTTGCTAAGAAGCTTTTATCCCAGTCGCAGCATCAGATTTTTTGCTTATTCAGATATCGCTTCTTGGTGTTTGTAATTCTTGACGCTTGGATCATGCAATTCAGTGGCATTTTCCCAATGCGGTAATCCACATCTCCTATTCCGGTAGCGAGCCAAAAAGCTTAATAATCTAGAAACGGTGGGTGCACGGACTAATCGTCGATATATTCCTCGACAACTTGTCTATATAAATCATGCTGTTCACACTCAATTCCCAAAACATTCTGCTCATCATCGCATTTACTCTTCTCTTAATTATCAATCTTCTTCACCATCAAATCCAAAGAGAGTCACGAAATTGATAGCAATGGCCAATACCAGCGCTACAGATAAATCCAAGCCTTACTTCCCCCTCGCCGGCGGAGCAAACGACGGGTGGTCTAATGAAGATGAAGCAACGGCAACATGTTTCTGTGGTGCTGTGCAACTTGCATTCGTAAGTCTAAAATTAGAACACTAGATACAATATCCTGACACTAATTCTACCCTACAGCCAACCCAAGGCCCTGGCCTGGTTACTACGTTCATCTGCCACTGCCACGACTGTCGCAAAATCACAGCCTCAATGTTCGCTTCTAATTTCACTATCGCTGATTCTCACTTAAGACACGTCCGTGGTCGTGAGAATCTGAAAGTCTTCAGTCAATCTAAGACCATCGCGACCAAGGAGACAATGGCCAATCACTTTTGTGGAACTTGTGGTACGCTCATGTATCGTGTTGGCTCGAGGTTTCCAAAAATGAGTATTCTGAGAATTGGAACTGTGGATGATTTTCATCTGCACGAGACTAAGTTGAGACCAAGGGTAGAACAGTTTACCGAGGGGAGAGTGGGGTGGTTGAGAGAATTGGATGGTATGAAACAGTCTGGAGAAGGAGCCTTTTAGTTAAAGTACATGAGATACATGGAGGGGTAACGTCCAGATTGCAAAAGATGAAGCAATAATTAAGTTCAGTATCTATTTGAAATTAAAATAAGTCGACCGTAAATTTCTCGACATCCTCCAGTGATGATCAATGCTTTTCCCATTTTCTTTCACAAAAAGTAATAATACAGTCAAGTGACTTTGCGTGGACGAAAGCCCGATTATCAATTAGCGTTCGGAATATTACTAATAAATACTACCAATACAGCACAATATCTAAAATTGGTTAGCGGTTTTCACCAAACCGAGTTTCTGTAGATCAGAGGGGATCGACTCACCCAGCAGCAGCACCAAAGATCTCATGCCTTTTGGCCTGTGTAAAGAGTGACAAAACAGCGGAAAACAAAAGTGTGAAAACAAGTAGCACACCAATACTAACTGTATACGTGATATTCAAGTTATGGTGCTCGGTGAGGCGATATAGAAGAAATACTGGGAGAATCAGAAGTAGGAGTAAGACCAGAACGAGAAGACTGGTTACGAATGTGTCTTTTCGAGATTTACTGTAGAAGTGGAGATTTGGATCTGTTGTCTTTTGTCGGTCTTCTGAGGTGCAAAAAATTGACTGGATTGTTAGCTTATGATTTTACTGAAAAAGAAATGTGGGTATTGTACTTGTAAGAATGCACAATGAAAGATTTGGAGGAACCTTTCAGTCATGGTATCGAGATATGCCCCTTCTCTCCCCTCACGCAAAGTGATGAGATCATTTTTCTCATATATAAATGCTTGCTCCTCATCGACGAGAGGTCTCTTGTCAAAAATATATCGCTCAACGCTTCGATAATCACTATCAGCAGGACGGTTCATGGCATTCACATGCTGAGACCGGAGTAGTAGCTCGTCTAGTATAAGTAAGTTTGTGTACACGCTTTTAATTGTGGCCAATTGGGAATGCTTACCATAAGCCGCTAACTTTCCTTCTATCTCGGCCAAGACTATAGTCCTTGTCCGAATTGTTGGATCTTCAGCAAGTTCCTTTTTCTCGGCTGCTATATCTGCGTTTCTAGATCGTGCGCGTCTCTTATCGGGTGCGTTCTCTGCTTCATCAAGATCGTCTAGTTCATCGAGTTCCATTTCGAGTCGACGAATTTCGTCCTGTCTATGGAGAAGTAAACGCGAATGTAGATATCCGAAACGTCGATAGATCTTGAAGTTCTCATCGCTGTCGAGAAATGTACTTAGAGATCGGTAGCTTTTTTGATGTTCAGACACTAGACGAGAAATTATTGGCTAATCGGATTCATGTGCTCTTCTGTTACACAAACTTACGAGTTCTCACATGCGGCTCTCGTAGGTTGTCATCACTAATAGATTTCGACATTCTCCAAGGATGCCATTGAGTGAGCTTTTCTCGATATTGAGAAAGCGTTTTGGTTGTAGGAGTAGATGAATTTGTCGCAAAAGTGCTTCCTTCAGAAAATTTAGTGGAAGTGGTAGGTGAAGTACACGGGAAATTGAACAATGGCAACGTGTTTAAAGTCATATTTTCGACTCTTGCTGAATTAATGAGCTGAATTATGGCATCTGTTAAACGGAATATTGTAGTTTATATTGACGTTCGTCACAATTGAGGACGGCAATGAGCTGCGCACGACGTTTTTCATAACTCAATTATGGGCGACTGCAATGCCCACGAGAAGCACTCAGCCTAAATACATTGGTAAAAACAGGGGCTTGCACGAGAGCTTGTGCAAGTACAGCCTACTCGTGTACAACCAATGAAATCCCCACCCCACCATAAGCCGCATAATCAAGCTGCAGTGAGCCTTTCCTGTTTGACCCATTCACCTTCCTTATACAAAGCCCCAGTCTTTGGATCCTTGACCTGATACACAAATTTTCCATTTTCTTGTTTTCTTGCAAAGATCTTGAATTCAAAGTCACCTTTCCTCGAAATCTTCAACCAAGTGGTATCTTCTACATTGAATAAGGCAAGTGGCTAAAGTTTTAATCAGAAACATCCGTTCACAATGAAATTTGAGGGTGTACTCACACCCGCAGGATTTCTGGAATCTGTATAATTCGAACGGTCTTCAGGTGTTTGTGGTCTCTTTCGAGAATCATCAGTAAGTCTAGTGATGATCTGGTGTAAGCTGTATACTCACAATAATCTCTGCCTCAATTGACACTATTTCCGCCATTGTGTAAGGCAGATTTATGGATTGTCTTTTTGGGATGGTATATATCAAAGACAATAATTGCGAGGGTTTGATTTGAAGAGAAATGGATTTGCCCCAAGGAAAGCCTAACGAGAAGACCTTTAAATCAATCATTCTATGGATTTACAGAGCCTCGATGTGGTACGACTTGCATGATGACATGGATTACAAGCGCTCACATGCTTACGATCAATGTGGTCACCGATGGATCAACCAAAGAACGAAAGGTATACAGTGGGGCTTATCTTCAGTGTGCTCAGCCACATTATGCCTCATCGTTTCTCTGTGGATTGAGAACTCATACATAAGTGGCAATGTTTTAAAAGATCCCGCCGTTCGTTACGAAACTCCAACCAGAAAGATTCCATTATACGAAAATACTAAATTATATTCTAGACTGTCCCACATTCTAAGCTCAGCATGGCCTCCATCAAGGGTAATTCTGTCTCAATAGCTGGCCACGACATTGTAAAACTTACACCGTCCACAATTATCATCCCTCAAAAAGATTATCAAGACAAAGAGGCATCGGACGATTCTAAATTGAAGGCCATTTGGGATGAGCAGATAAGCGCGAAGAATGCATCGGTCGCATATCGTGAAGCACATGTTCTTTTGCTATCATGGGATCATAAAGATGATGACCTCCATGTACAACAAGAGGTAATAAACTTCTTAGAGGGGGTTACATCTTCAATGAAGCTGACTTCAGTAGGTGGCAGATCTTGAGCATGTCTTCCAGGATATTTTCAAATACAAAACAACAAAAAAGATTCTGCAGCAAAATCCGAAGAAGCATCCACAGACTCAGATAAACCTATATCTTGCCGAGTTTGTTCACAGTCACGATGATCCAAATACTCTTCTAATTGTCTATTATGCCGGGCATGGAAAGCTTACGGATGGGGAGAATGGACTAGCTTTAACTGGGTAATATATGCAAAGGTGACCCAACTCATGAACATTGCTGACATATGATCAGATCAACAAGTATTCCAGATGAAGACGATGAGTTACATGAGATTGTCTGGAGCTCCGCGGAACACAACATACAAAACACCCAAAGCGATGTTCTTGTTATATTCGACTGCTGTAATGCTGGCGAAATGGATCGCGGAGTCCGCGGTGCTGACTTTACTAGAAGAGCATTCGAATACATGGCTGCAACTTCTCAGAGATCCACCACCAGAAAGCCAGGCCCTCAATCATTTACCGCCGCTCTCATCTGGGCCCTGAAAGAAATGGTTCTTTCCAAACCCGGAAAGCGTTTCAGTACGCAGGAACTGATCCGAAAGATCTCCCAAGCACCTAAGTTTCCTAGAGCCCAGGCTCCAAGATTAACGGAGAGAGGCCCGATAGGGTCTTTGAGAAAAATTGTCCTTGTCCCTCTCGATCAACAGTTAATATCTGGGGTCCCGGAAGAGAAAAACATGGAACTGATGGATGAGATAAAACTTAAAGAAACGCTAAGTCTTCGATTCGTCTTTAATGGGAAAATCACCAGAAAGATAATCAGAGAGCTCGCGAAAGATGTGTCCAATCTCATAAGCGAAGGAGATTTTGTGGCATCTACAGTTCTTTGGGAGGGATTAAATACTTCTAATTCGATCAAGAAAACATTCCGTGATGTTGTCAGTCATGTCATTGGGCAGAACCTATCAAGAAAACGAGATAGATCCAATTTAGATGGCGCGCAATTCTCACCCATAACACCCATGACACCTGTTACACCTACATTACAACAAGAATCAACAGTGTCATCCGAAGATAGCATCGATGTTACGCTCAGTCCAGAGCGGTCGCTTTCAAGTCCTACACCAGAGATCGGAACTAGTGGAGGCGTGAGAAGCGAGGAAAATGGATTTTCAGACTCATCCAAGAAGAGAAAACGAGAGGATGGGACGACGAATGACACGGGAAGTGTTGATCCGATATCTAATCTGTCACATACAGCACGCGAGATGAGACAGAAGAGACGTCAGTCTGGTCATCGGAGCATTTAGAGGAAGGATCATTGGAAACTTGGACAGCGCGCGTTGTCAGCTTAATTGAATTGGCTCACTTGAAGCTTTTTATTTCTTTTGTGATTTTAGAGATATCATGGGAGGTTGCGTGGACTTAGTTTGGGCTACTTACGGCGCAAGAAACAGGATTCCATTGGAGATGGTTATTCTGACAGTATTTTGGCTTCCATATATAGATAGACAAGCTTTTGTGCACAATTTAGGCTATTCATGATTTGAAGAAGAGGATCTTGCGGCATTCGTATCAGTTCATATATATCAAAGGCGACGATGCCCTGGGCGAGAAAAAACGCTTGATTGGGAGAATTTAAGACCCATTTCAACATCGCTATACATTTTTTGTAACCATCCTTTGGTGCCCAATGCCTGCAAATGTCAATCTGAACAACCAAAGAACATTGAGCTAGCTTGAGCACGTGTATCCCAGTCTGTTGGAATGGAAAGACGCTGGATAGATATACTGGTGTGGCACAAATGTTCGAGGATGACATTCAGCGTTCTGTACTTTTGGATGTGGCATGATGTTACTTATTTGTACTTCATAGATCTAAAATGAGATGATACCCCTAGTTTTCGCAGCAATAATTACCGTGATCAATTCTTCTTTGGATGATAAGTCTTCTACTGACCCTCACGTCATGTTTCTTTGCAACATTCTCTAGCTTTTAACATCTAGCTTCTCACATTGCGGCCTTTTCAGTCCTCGCTTCGGCTCGCTACGCACGGAGCGTTAATCTCTAGTCATCAAGATTGCCCGGCAAATTCCTACCCAAATCTTTCACAACCGAAAAAAACACTCATAATTGGAATCCTTAAAAAGGCCTCTGATATACATCTATAAATTTAGAGAAAAATGAAAAAGAAATACCATCCCGAAGGATGTAGTACGAAGAAATCCCGTGGGTTTGCTTCTATGGACATCGACATCAAAGGATTTGGGTTCTCAGTGTTAACCACGGGACCATCAGCTCACTTTGATGTCGATGAGTGATGTACTTCTTTTTGGATTATATACCAGGAATCTACATCTTCTCTTATGTATGTGGATGAGTACTTCCCAATTAACCACAAAACGATTTGCCGCAATTCCTCCGAAAAGAACACTTCCCAAGATACACTCCCATCTATTATTTTCATTCTTAAAAATTAACTTCAAACCTTCATCCAAAGCACAATCTCTCAATTCTGTCTCCAAAAGTTAGAAAGAAAAAGAAAAGGTCAAAAGAAATGCCGCTCGTAGAGCGGTATCCAGAAACCGTGAACGTTTACTGTGCTAATCTAATATCAAAGGGACCGGGGTTCTCGGTGGGCAATGTTAACCACGGGACCATCAAGACACTTTGTACGATATTGATTGAGAGGTGAATCCTTATTGGGAACTATATTGTCTCGATCGAAATGTCGAATAGTACACTATTCCAAGCTGGAGCTGGAGCTAAAGCTATTCTTGATTATAGTTTAAGAACTGACATTCTCGTTGAAGATATTTCACTTTCAAGACCACTTTCAAGACCACTCTCAAGACCATTTTCAACCTTTAACTGCTTGATTCTCGGCTTTACTTTCTGAAGTCAGTCACTCAGAATTTGAATCGCTATTCAATATTACCTCACCATGAAGTCAATATACACAATTTCAATCTCAAGTAATCATGCTGTCGGTTTTGTTATTTAACTGAGTATATTTTCCAAGAATGGACGACATCCTTTTCCCCATACCTTCCTTCCCCTGTCTATTTCATCTTTTGCTCTTGCCAATTCCATTTTCTGCTTGATAAGTCTACACAATCCCAAAACATCTAAGTCATTGAAAATTAATAATTAGCTAATATCGATACCCGAATGATGAGTGAGAAAGAGAAGCAAACCCCCATCTCAATATTTGGAAACTCGCTTCTCGAATCGTCATGTTGTGCACTCCTTTCTCTCCATCTGAGAATTATACAGCTATACTTCATTCAAGATAGACCTTACCAAAGCACGTCTCAATCGAAGCAAAAATCATTCCATGAAATTCAAAGTTACGAGCTATTTGCACAGAAAGAACTATCTCATATGCTACTGAATTCCTCCATGAGAACAAAACCAAGATAGATAAACGAAGATTAGCATCAAATCAAACTAGATGAGAACAAGTCTCTGAGCCACCAACACTGCACTTTCTATTATCCATTTGGGACTGGCTACATACAAAGCCCTTGTTGTCCGTACGTCAAAATCCTGATTATCCCATGAGAAGTGATCTAATTGTGGAATCATATTTCTACATCCCAACCTCGGGTTCCATCAAATTTTTGGAATGTGTGAATAGGCTGCGCAAAAATAATCTATACCCGTGGGTAATCTGTAGATGATCCGCCGAACGGGTTATCCGTCAGAGGTCTCAGGTCTTACCCGCCTTGCAGATTATCTGTCGAGGTCACTATCCGCCCCGCGGGTACCCGTTACCGAGCCTAGACGTGAATGACACTGGATACACGATTTACGTTCCTCACCTAGTCCCATGATAGCTAGACTAGAGACTACTATTCCGTATCAAAATAATAATAAAATTATCTCTACATCGCCATGGCATGCTTCCATAGCGACTTTTCACACCCTTCTTCTCTTGAGCCCATTCCCATTCCCATCTCATTATCCCGCAACTCCATACTATGAGCTCCTTGCCCCCTCCCCGCCTCGCGCATCGTAAACTTGCTCCTTTCCACTCCAAGTACGAGACAGTATATCCCTGTAGGATCGACCTTCCCTGTCATTAAAACTCATACTTTCTAGGGTTGTAATATGACCGTCAGATCATCTTGATCTACCTATTTTTTCTATATCAACTGTTATATCAGAGATAATAGTCATTTTGAATTACACAGATCATCTCATACCGGAATTCAATTATGTAGTGTTTATAGAACTATCGAGGGGTTAGCTTTACCAGGTTGAATGGTGCTATATGACTGGTCATGACATAAGTATCAAGTCGAATTTACAACCCTGTACTTTCTGATACTTTTTCTGTCGTTTCATGTGAAATTCAAATGTTGGAAAGTCTACCACAATAGAAATGGAATATTGATCACGTCACCAGTACTCTTTGCGAAAATACAAAAATGCAGCGTGTGAGTTATTCGCCTACAAGGAAGTCGTAACTTTCCGAAAATACACGTGAGCCTAGCAATTCAGTACAATAGCATTGATAAATGAAAGACGAGCACGTGGCATATGAGTAAGAAGAATGTTTGTAGACAATAAGTTATTTTTCGTGTTTAACAGCCCAACCGGTGAAATACAATGTAGTGGATGCGTCATGTTAAGTACTTCATTTTCGCGTCCCGAGTATAGTCCCGGGAACATTTCTCAATTCCAAACAATCTTTTGGAATTGATAATCCACTAGTTTTAAGGCTGCATAAATGAAGCATGTGCTAGTCATCTTCGTCGTCAGCGTTTCAGTTTCAAAAACTATGCTACTAGATTTCGGGAATCTCATAATTTCACTACTCCATCTCTAAATTCTAGCTCAAGTTACGAATCAAAACATGTTAGTATACTCGATACGAGACCCCAAACACGGAATCCCAAAGAGCATTCAAGCACTCACTGCCTTGCCATTATCACGTGTACCTTCACCCGCTCGCTTCTCCTCCACCCCCTTTTTCCCATCTTACTTTCTCCCCATCGATGCTTACCTAATAACATCCATCTCAACTAACTAACCAAGCAACCTCCACTTCCACCTCCAGTTCCACCTACTAGCCACCAACCCACCCCACTCACAGACGCGTTGCCACGACACGACATCATAATCCACACCTGTCATCCACATCGGCACGACTTTCCAATCCTCCCATTCTGATGAGAAATATTATTATGGAGCCGTGATGGATCGTACGCGGAATCATGTTCCGTGCGCACACATCGGGCTATGATGAAAGGAGGAAAGACTGGGGGAACTTTTACATGCCAGACATGATGTATCTACACGCGGAAGAATGTCATAGGTACGAAGCGTGGAATTCGACGCTGCACAGCGGGGCGGAGATGTGGAATGTGAGATGCTGAACGAGATCTCGGCAAATGATCGGATTTTGTGAGATGAGAATTTGCGGGGCGAGAAAGATATCAAAACACTGCCTGCGAGAGAGCGACTCTCTGTATACAATAATATTGTCCACACCATTGCCTTACTTGTCGATGACCTTGTTGGATAGATATTAGGTAATAAAGCGCAGAGGACGGGCCAGCGGGAGCCAACATAGTAATAAATGAAGTGTATCTATCTAGTTCCGCGCGATACATTATCCGCGCAAATAACAAAGCCTTCACCGATTTTAACGAATCAAAATCAACACCATAAAACTCTCTCCGCCAAGCGCGAAACTAAAACTCTAGTATCGCCCAAGTCCGTAAATCGACGAATCGGGGATGATGTTGCTCCAGGCAGACACATTTGCACCCGCTAGAATCAATCCTGAAGATCTTCAAGACTCAGAGAGATTGTGATCGTATGGGATGTGGGCCAAAAAAAGAAAGAGAGAACATTATTCAGTTTCAGGAAATAGCAAACGAGCGCCAAGAAAAAGGGCTCGTGTAGATCCCTCATCGGAAGATATTTGATACGCAGCCCTATGATTATATGCAGAGACGCCATTCGCAGGAACCCGGTCCAGCGGCAAGAGACCTACTGGAACGAAAACCTCCGAGACGCCCCATACGGAATGTGAAAATGAGATGGGACAAATGGAATACGAAATGGAAATTCAAATATGACCTCGCCACCCCTAGGATGAAGAAGGAATTCAGACGACGCTCGATGTACCTTGTACTCACTAGTGAAATGTAACGTTGGAACCGTTTTTCGAATTGACAAACAAGCGACGAAGAGGAGAAAATGAGACGTGTGAAGGATGGTCGTCATGATGGCCGCGCGCCTAGTGTAACCACTGGAAGCAGATGTGGATTTGATAGTAGTACTTAATGAAGAACACGGGGAAAACTCCGTATATAAGAATCTTTATCGATCCTTCGAATTGAGTGATATCCAAAGGCCAACCACATGATTGACAAAATTAGTAAAATCATTAATCCTATTGCATAGAGCCTCAGCCCATCAAAAGACATTGCAGAATTTATGAAATACGTTTCACATGGAAGGATACCCGCCAAGACTAAGAACAATACAAATCCATTCATCCACATGCCGCCAGGATGCAACATGTACATCGAGGCTGAAGCCGATTCGGCATCAAGTGAACCGCATCACAATGTGTATTTGATAGAACGAATCAAAGCATGCCAATCCGTTACCGAATCTTCGGAGAGGGGTTCCGATCGATAAGAATGTGATAATGTGATAATGTGACAGTAATGTGGCTTTCGTGGCAAATGAGGGGCTGGATGTTGGTGTTTCGATTCTGGCTCATGATCAGGGGTAGATGAATGAGTATAATTTGTAAGTAAAATAGGACGAGCCAAATGTCAATTTGAAAATGAACTCGCAATGCGAATAATCACATGAGACGCAACACATGTACACAGCATGAGAAAGTTCCTCCTCCCTCCCCGCCACCGGTCCCCGCCCACCCATGGATGTTGGTGTTTCGATATTGATTTCTGGCGATGAGGGGTAGACAAATAGATATAATTTGTATTGAAATAGAATATAGTCAGATCCCAGCTGGTTATGTAAATGTGCACTACAGATAAGATCATAATACAAAACGACAATGTGGAATACAATACGAATACACAGAGTGAAGAAAGTTCCTCAACAGAAGACGTGATTGATAGCTCAATCCCAATTCAGCACATGCTACAATACTATGTCTCCCAGCCACACAAACGCAAAAGAGATTCCTGCTCTTCCACGTGCGATTACAGATGATAGGATGTTGGTATCTCGAACGCGTGTGTTCCTGATGTGAGTGAAGGATTGAGGGGAAACATGTGAGGTAAGCGCCAATAGTCAATTCTGCGGTTGGAATGAGGGGTGTGAGGGGTATGAGGGGTGAGATGTGCAACACGAGTTTCCCGAATATGATATGTGCGATTTGTATACGCTAGCTAGTTGAGGATGAATGTGAAAAAGAGGTCTGATGAAGTAAAGTTTTTCCTTAGCGGATGGGGATATGAAGGAGATATTGTAGGATATGAAGGGAGGTGTTGATCATGTGAATAGTCTCTAGCCAGGTAGGTAATCTTACACCAAGGAAGTCCCTCTCCACCATCTCATGAGGGGTTGAATATGCAGCAATACTTCTTTGATTATGTGCGATTAGTGAGGAGGACATATCTGCAGCGCGGAATGTATTTCCCTAAGAACTGGAGGTGGAAGTAAGCATTGTCCATACATATACATACATACAAACACATCTGACCGATGACAATGCATTTGCGCCTCTTGGCACTGTGCCCATCCATGGCGTCGATAGTTGATGCACGCGTGCATTTCCCCTCATTATGAAAGATCCTTGGGACGCCCATAGTATAATGCATTGGGAACTTCTCGGCTTCAATAGATATCTGTATGGCTTAAGCTATACTCGCTCGCTCGTTCGCACTCCCGTCGTTTTCCCCGAGACATGGAAGATTTCCGAGCGGTCGTAGCCGATGTGCATAAGTTATGATCCCATATCTACTTACTTTCCTCTAATGATCCATCCTTCCCTTTCCCTTTCTACAAATAAACAAACATCCTCATCAAGCCTTTCCCCACCCCAGTAATTTTCTCGGCCCTTCGAGTCTATACAAATTGTAATTTCCAGCATCCATCTCCCACCCACTTCAGGTATCTTATCCACCCCCTAAAGCTTTGTATTTAGTCTCTACATACATATATCTACTATGTACCTAGAGCCAGTATACTATCTACCTAGCGCAGCCAACATTTCCTACCTAGATACCCATCCACCCCAAGCTTCACAAATCCCAATTCCTAGTACCCATACCCAGCTGCCTACCTATTTCCCTAAAAATCCCACCAAAATAAATCCACCATCCACAATCCACACTACAAATCCAAGTAAGTACCTACCCAAACACACTCGCGCCCGCACCATAAACGAACGGACCGAATACCTCCGCAAACCAACCCATCGGACAAGTCCTAGCCTGATCTTCTAGTGCCCTCTCTCGTTTCCGCCAAGACGCGATCAAAGTCGCGAGAATTTTGTTGCTGTTTGCTGACCGACCCGAGCTACTTACCTAGGTACGTTGGGTTTTTATATCGTGATCTTGAATCTTGATGAAATTGTCTTGTGATGTTGTTGTTTGATTCGTGGAAGAGGAGATGGGGATGTGGTTTATATATATATATGTACATGAAATACGGTAATACATAGGTAGGTAAATTTGTGCACTAGATGAATTGTGAAAGAGAGAAAGGGAAGCGAATGAATGAATGAATCAGATTTTGATGATTTGATTTCCTCGTGCCTGCAGAATAGATCGTTCGCGATAATAGTGTTAATACTAGCGGAGTGTAGCCCCTTATGAAGTTTAGGTATAGGGCTTTTTGAATGTATGTGTGCTTTTAGTTCTTTGTCAGAGATGCTTGAAAGACTTACATGTATTGCCTAGTGGGTGACCGACGAAGGAGAAAGAAAGATACTTGGTGGGAATATCAACGACTATGATGTAAGAATGAAGTCATACGGTTTCGTATTATATTTACATACCTACCGGTAGGGAATTTTGTATAGTCTGTGGGTGTGAAGCTTTGATGTTTCCGTGTTGATTGGGGATTGATAGGTAGAGCCGAGGAGCTTGGATGATGGGTTTGGTATGGTATGGTTACATCTTGATACTAGATGTCAGGGAGTAGAGTAAGTACTAGGAGGTAGATTGGTGAGTGGTATCGATTAATACTAGCTGAGGCTATAGATATAATTGTCAAAATATATGGAAATGCATCTGGGTATACAACAAGGAAAATAGTGATAACCTAGAAATCGAGGAATGGGAGAAGGAAGGATTCATAGATCCAGATCGAAATATGTCGGTCTGGGCTTGTCTTATCTTTCGTGCATGTGATATTCACAGAGTGTTGTAGTTGGTCTCTATCTAACTTCCGACGATGACTCGGTAAATCTTGACATATCACCTGCAGAGGGGAAAGATATATTTATTGTAAATTTTGAAATAATCGCGATACAAGATTCTTCCAATCCGAAGTTTAAAATCCGAAAATCGAATACGGAGTAACTAAATTCTTCAGCACAACGCAAGCCAAGCGCTTCTTCTCACCCCCACCCACCCCCAGCAAACCCACCATCAACACCCACTCAAAGATAAGAAAAAATTAAAAAAAACCACAAGAATCTCATGAATATCGATATTTCCTACCCTCAAAAACCCATCCAGTACCGAAATTCCCAATTCCACTCTTTCCTTTGTCGTCCCCCTGCTCAGCACTCAGCACATAACTACCAATGCACGTTTTTCTTTCCTCTCAAAACTTGGATTTTTAAGTGGACGACTGGGTCCGGAACAGGGGTCCTGGAATGGGTAAGTGTATTCACGCACTTTTTGATGCGAGAGTCCTAGCGTACTGGCGACTCGCTGCTTTGGATTCGTTGCAGCGGGTGGGAATCCGTTGTGGTGATGGTGTGCGTGGTGTGATGATTGGTTTTGGGGAGGGGGTGGATGGGTGGGAGGATGGCTCGGATTAGGATGGGGTTTTTGGTGGAAGCTTGATTCGGGGATGGGTATGCTTGCAATGTAATACAGTATATAATATAATATGCGATTTGAGATGCAATTGGAAAGGCGAGGGAGGGGTGTAGATGGCCCGTTAGGTTCAGGTCCGCATACACGCCACAGGAGGGGAAACACGGGGGGAAGTATATATCGAATATTAGTGTTGGAAGAGATTTCTCAAGATGTCTACCGGTCATATATCGACATTAACAGCGAAGACAGAGATGGTTTGTAATGGTTTCTGCCATGATTCGTATGTAATAGGATGAATGGACACCTCTCGCAAGCACTTCACAGGTGGTTGATTGTACGAAGTCTATGCAAAATGCGAGATCCTCTGTAGACGCAGAGGAAGTTCCTTCTCCCTCCTCCGCCCACCCCCAGTCCAACGCCGGTGTCCACTCACCTAGAGAGGTTGTCTCCAGAAAAACAGTTTGCATGTGGAAAGATGGAAATGGAAGTGGAAGTGGATGTGGTCCGTGAAAGCGAGAAGAGCAGAGATGCCGGTCAATAGAAGATGTCGATAATGAACATGGTCTTGGCAATCACAAAAATCGTACCATGATACGGCGATATCTAAAAACTGTGACGTCTTTGGAAGTTTCGAGTTTTGGAAAATTTGAGATGCGAGTAACGATACTAATGAGATACGATATTGCATTATTCCATCCGATGAATAAGAAAGAATCACTTTGTCAATGTAACCATCCAGACCTAGACATTGGTACGAACCATGCTTACTCACGTCAAGTCATAAGATGCTTGATTCCAGCTGAACTAATGTGAAGAAGTACTTGCAGATTAGCTGCTGAGAACTACATGTCTTAAGTAGGTAGTGTAACATTAGAAGTCATCTGGAGATCTCCGATATACATACAGATGAACCTAGCATACATCAAATGAATATATATTACGCATGAATATATATTAACTGCACGTTGGAAATACCGTATATACATACATATGTATCTAGGACACACCCATCTGATATACATTTTGTGGCATATATCGATGACAGCTCTGAGAGGAGCCCACAAACCGGGATTTCTCATGTACCGCACAGTCTGTAACAGCTGAGTGTGATAGGGATAGATACCGAACCAACGGAAAAGGTGTCGGGACGTTTTGTTCGGTTGAGATGATCACAGGTAGGTTATCTACTATGGAATTTTATGCATAATGGATGATTAAACTGGGTTTGGAAGGTTTGGCGGGGATGCGACTGGAAAAGGGTAGGTAGATTTTATAGGAGGAATAAATGGATTTTGTTATAGAAACTTCAATATATAATATCTGGTAGTCAAATTCGATCAAAATAGATGAGACGTGTTGGAATACTGAGTGCTGTTGCTTACACCATCATCCCACATCCTTCTATCAATCCGAATCTTCCAATTCCGCATGGGATATCTCGTAAACTTGACAAACTCATGACAACTCGTGACTACCACCTTCTCTCTTGCTTGAACATGTATATTATGACCACAACTGAATTGCTTCACATTTATTGACCCATTTGCTTATTGATACGTGAAAAATCAAACCCTCGGCCTTATTCTTATTGATCTTACTCCAACCGGACCATTCTAATTTATTTTCCCAGCTTTGATCCAGCTGTGGAGTATTATTCCTCCACACATATACATCCTCGAAAAGGCTTCAACCCTTCATCAATAACGTGTGATTGGTAGACGGTTACGCACGTTTTCCGAATCCCATCCCAAAACGCATTCATTCACCAGATATCGGAACGGCTACGAGATGATCCTGGGCTAGCACTCCATTCTTGAAGGAAGATACTAGGACGACCATCATCTACTTTAGACCGAGGGAAGAAAAGTCAAGAAATCAAAGGCACAGTTCACATGCTGATCTATCTGTCGCTTGCATAAAAAGGTACTTTTAAGACGAAACTTACTGCCTTCAATGCTCGGCTGGGTGTGCATCAGGGTGAAGGACCATACCATGTAACATACGGGACTATCTAGATGCTAATGCTTAAGTTTGAAGGTTAGATCTTTGAGCGTGGCTGAACTACTCTGTGCCAATACAGTCAGTACCTTCTGACATCCGCGCCGCTTTGCAATCCAATCACAAACACATCATGGTCTTCCTTCAAATCATCCAACATTAGAAGCAGAAGCGCTAGAAGAGTACGAGGAAGCAATCATTCACGAGCACCCAAACGAGAGGATCTTCCAACCAACAGACGATGGCGAATATCCTGTCAATCGCCCACACAGGAACTTCCATGTTGGATTCTGAGGGGAAAATAAGTTTCCAAGTATTTAAGCATTATTTAGAAGAATAGCTAGGTGTGTAGGTAAGTCATAATAAAAGTGGTAAGAATTATTAGACCAGGAACAAAGCAAGAAATGACCACGAACAAGATCTTGGACAATAATAAATGATAGTATTAAGTCGCGATAAGGTTGCTATCGCCTGGGTTGCACCAAGTTTTATTCTCACTAGGTCAGGTAAGCAAAAAAGATATTTGAACAGCGAACAGCGAACCGCGAGCAGTGAACAATCAACCCGGAGAAGTGATGCTGTGGTATCTTGCATATTTTGTATCCTTTCAGCTTATTACATACCATGATCGTGTACAGTACAGTACAATACACCACCACCACCACCACCACTATCCGATCTCTATACAAGGTAGCACAATCAGCGTTCTACTATATGTGACTCTATACGCCTCAAGCCCCAACTCAATTTATCCTTTCACGCCGCTGATATAGGCATAAAAACACGGCTACACAGCTGCACAGCTACACATCCACGCACCCACCCTCTCACGCACTCGCACCCACGCACCAACCTCAGCACAATCCACCGGTATACTCACAACCTTAAAATGCCTAACTAGGGTTATCTTTCACCGAAGCAGTAAAGTACCCAAAGAGTGTTAGTCGTCACTAGAGATGTCACTAATTAGGTAGGTAGCTAACCAAAATCAACCATTGTCACCTACTAGGTCTGCTACCGACTTATCACTCAAGTTATTCAAATCATTCAAATCATTCAAATCGCTCCATTCACTCCATTCACTCATACCACACTTCACTCACACTTGTTATTAACTCACACTTCACTCACACTTATTATTATTCACGCACACTTCACTCACCACCTCTATACTAGGTAATAAATAATCATCCCTAGTCATAATATATCTCTCCTACCTACCTAGTAAATCAAACAACAATAACAACAACTTTATCCTCTCCCCCCCCTCCGCCCAATACTTTTTCGATCATAATTCCTCCCAAGCCTCAGAGTCTCAAATCGCTCAAATCCTCCCTCCCTGACTTCACACATTCAAATTTATACCCGTCCTCCCGGTTTATCCTAACATCCTCTTTTTCCTTTTAAACCATACCACCCGGGTTCATCGCTCCTTTACTTATTCTTCAATTGAAAACGAGTAGCATAATATCTACCTAGTACACAACACACCTACTTCTTCCTACTTGCTTACTTACTTACTCGCTTTCTTTCTTTCCTTCTCTTTTCTCTCCTTCTTTGTATTTGGGTTGTGAGGAAAGACAGGAGGAAGGAACATTGATTATTATATTAATATCCCAAAAGACCGACTATCCATTCACACCCCCCCCCCTCCCCTTCCAACCCCAAACTCAAACTCCAACCTAAGGGGAGAAAAAAAATTAAGCTTGCTCCGAGCCCATCCATACCATCCATACACCACCACTACTCAATTTCACGCCAACCCCCAAAAAACTTACGCATACATACGGTATCCCGATTCTGAAAGGCCTCCATTTGGGACTACTCTTTTTAGCTTCACTGGAAAAAAATATTCCTTGGTCTATAGCCTCGCAGCAGACACTCTAGCCAACTGCAGCTTACTTGGATTAATTCAAACCTCTTACGAGCCTTTACGTTTTGTTTGCGACCAATTAAATCCTTCTTCTAATTGATTCCTCATTATTGTCCCCGCAGTCTCCATTTCTCATACATCAATATGATGGCCGATGTCCCTCGAAGGAAACCAATGCCACCTGGTTTCCAAACTTCTCCTTCTGGTCCTTCATACAACAACCATAGTCGAACTCGCACGATTTCTTCCAACACCTTTCCTTCCATCAATTACCCGCCTCAACCTCAAAACCCACAGACTCTCTATCCAGGAAACATGCAGATAAGCGGATTCTCTTCAAGGAGAACTCCTTCGACGGGCACCTTTTCGACAACGGCAAGTAGTGGGAACGGCCCTGTGCCATATCGTGGTTCTCAAGACCTGAGGAGATCCACGTCTTCACGATCGGGAAACTTACAACCTCAAGGTTATGTGGCTCTGATGCGAAAACAAAAGGCGACGGTGTGGTGTGATAGATCGCAACATGAAGATCCACGATTGATCGCTCAACAAAAAGCGGCCAAGGAAAGAGCAGCGGCTGCAGTACTGGGTGGACCTTTACAAGGAAGGATATCTACTGGTGGCACAAATAGTTTGGTCGGAAGTAATCGAGTGACGGCGAAAATAAGACATCATGGGAAAGCTGGATTGGTAGGATATAGTCCGGGAGATCTTGTCGGAGGTGTAGTCGGTGTGCCAATGAGATTAAGTGCTAGTGAAGTGGAAGGTGGAGACAGTGATGATGATGGAGACAGCGGCAGGATTTTATATCATCGAAGAACAGGTTCTGGACGCAGTAGTGTTGGCAGTGCTAGGAGGGGTCTTACATATTCACGACAATCTGGTGCAAGTTCGACAGCTGGCAGATGGAGCTCAGGCCACACGCCACCTAGCGAAAGAGAAAGACGAGAATCTTTCGCAGATGTGGCAGAAGCTGGGGAAACTCCTGTGCCCGCTGAACACCCTAACGCGAAGAATTATTTTGAAGGTGGTGATGGAACGAGAAGTGCAGGAGGAAGTATTAGTAGTGGAGAACGAGCGGATGGTATTGCGGATTTGAACTCGAATGATGCAGCGAGATTGGCAAGTAACAGCTTGTTGAAATCAACAATCACGCGCGAAAAAAGTGTCAAGAATCCTGACGAATTAAGGAGAAGAGGAAGTGTCGATGAACGAACGACAACCATGACTCTTGGTGCTGGCCGATTATTTATTGCCAACCCAGATCATTCGGATAGTGATTGAGACAGGTTGGAGGAGCACTCTATGAGTTTAAGAAATACGATATCAAGGAACCTGCAAGGAACCTGCGAGTACAAAAGGAGATACCTTTAGACGACGGAATTCACGTCACAAACATCACAACATATTACGTTGATGAAAATAACATCACTTCGTTTTGGAGCAAAAGAGCAAAGCAAGCAACTGCATTCAAAAGGCGTAGCATTGGAGTACTTTGGGATTACATGGCAATATCAATTTGGATTGGTTTATTGGGGTTATTTGTGGTTGATATACAGTCTTCCTTTTTATACATGGAAGTGGATGGTTTTGGATTGGGCATATGGTGCTTTAATCAACGCTGCTTGTTTGTTGAGGT